AGCGCCCAGGCCCAGAGTTCAGGCCCCATGACTGGACCCAAAAAAAAAAAAGTAAAAAAAAAAAAAAAAAAAGATGTTGAGCTAAAACCGGCAGAGTATGTATAGTGGAAGTAGAACTTACACCAGACTCTGGTGGCTCATGCCTGTAATCCTAGCTTCTCAGAAGACTGAGATCTGAGGATCCAGATCCAAGCCAGCGCCGGGCAAAAAAGTCTTCCAGACTCTGATCCCCAATTAATTAATAAATGCCAGACTGGAAGTATGGCTCAACTGGTAGGGTGAACAAATGCCCAAGGCCCTGAGTTCAAGCTCTAATACCAGCATATACATGAACCCAAAATAAATAGCTGAAATAATAAAATTAATTCTAAACAATATCTATTACTGTGAATACATATGTAGATGTTATGAAAGTACATATATTTCCTTGGGGATGAATAATGAATATCAAAATCAAGATGGCTCTACCAGGAAAATGGGAAGGTAAACAGGAGTAGGAAACTCTCTTATCCAGGAAACTTAAGTTACACATGGTGATAGAGTCTAAGTAGCACAAGCTGGCCTTGAACTGCTGATCTTCCTGACTCACCTTCAGTGCTAGGATTATAGGTGTGCGCTACCAGCTTGTAACATAATTTTAAAAAATCATTCCAAGCCAGGAGTCAGTGGCTCAGGCCTGTAATCCTTGCTACTTAGGGGGAGGGTGAGATCTTCAGATCATAGTTCAAATGAAGCCAGCCAGGCAGGAAAGTCTGAGACTCTTAATCCCAAATAATCATAAAAAAGCCAGAAATGGGGCTGTGGCTAAAGTGATAGAGCATCAGCCTTGAGTTTAATAGTTCAGAAACAGTGTCTCGATCCTGATTTCAAGCCCCATCTCTGGTTTAAAAGAATAGTTTATAGTCCAGGTGCTAGTGGCTCATGCCTGTAATCCTGCCTACTCAGGAGGCTGAGATCTGAGGATTCAGTTAGAAGCCAGCCCAACAGGAAAGTGCATGAGATTCTTATCTCCAATTAACCACTAGAAAATCAGAAGTGTTGTTGTGGCTCAAAGTAGTAGAGTGCTAGCCTTGAGTGGAAAAAGCTTAGTGAGAGTGATCAGAACCCGAGTTCAAGCCCCAGAACTGACAAAATAATAAATAAGTAAATTAGCTTATAAGTTAAAGAATGAACTAGCAAGGTTCCAGAATGGAAGGAGACGAGGAAACAATTCTGGTACTCTACAGTGCCCTTAAATATGTGTGCAGCATAGTTTCCGGAATATAGTAAGTGGTTCATTTGTTCAGCCATCAAGATAAAGACCTAAGAGATAAACTAAATGTTTAGAGTAGTTCACTTTGTTAGGTGCTTTATCTTTTTAGTCTTTATTAGCATCTAGCTGAGGTGGTTTATTAGAAAAGTAAGCCTCTGGGAGGCGGTAGCCGGAAGGCACAACGGCTGCATAAATATTTAGTGACTCATTCCTGATGCAGTCACACACTGCCACTCCCTGAACATACACTCCACTTTTCTGTTTGCACTTGAAAAAAAAAATTATCCTTTCCCTTGGTCCATCAGTAAGCACATTTTGACTTGTTGATTCTACACAGCACACAGAATATTTCTGAGTCTGGATCTGTCAATTTTCATATGACTCTCCTGCCTCTTTACTAGGTGAAGAAACCAGGGTAGTTCATTTCCTGAACAGGTGAGTAAACTAAAGCACAGGGTAGCTGAGCCAAAGGCTCTTCACCTTGTATCTGTGAACTTCATGGAATCCTATGTTAAATAGTTTATAACTGAACAGCTTTCTTGTGTGTAGAGATTTTAATTGTAATTTCAGAGGCATCCATCACTCCAGAAGGTAAAAACAAAAATAAAACACCAATAAACAAAAAACCAACACATCGTTAAATGATTTCCTTAAAGCCAAAGGTCACGTAATTCTGGTGGAGTCTAGTCTGGACCAGAAATAAGTTTTCCAGAATCAAGCTTATTGCAATCGACAGGATTCAACTTCCAAGGAAAGGGATGGGAGTGGACTTTTTATTTATTTATTATTGTTTTTGGGTCCGGTCATAGGGCCTGAACTCTGGGCCTGGGCGCTGTCCCTCAGCTCTTCAGCTCAAGGCTAGTGCTCTACCACTTGAGCCACAGGGCCACTTCTGGCTTTTTTTCTTTTTGCTTATATGGTGCTGAGGAATCGAACCCAGGGCCTCGTGCATGCAAGGCAAGCGCTCTACCACTGAGCCACCTTCCCAGCTCGGGAGTGGACTTTTTAAAGCCGCCGTATTGCCCCGCCCTCCCAGATTCAGATGGCAGATGTGGGTGAAATGAGACTCAGCTTGATCGAGGGAGGACACCAGAAGATGGGCTGCCAAGGGGATGATTTCCACCACGTTTCCTGTACCAGTTGCTTAGTCCTGTACCTTTGGGCGGCCTTTCTATTGGATGTAAAAGGAATGGACTACGGGTTCTCAGGGATTTAAAATAGAAGCCGGCTGGACATGCTGACTCAAACCCAGAAACCCAGCCTTGGGGCAGGAATCCCGCGGCTGGGGAGGATCGATAGGAGTTCAAGGCCAGCTTGGGCTACACAGAGAATGCCCACCAACTCAAAACAGCAGGACAAGGGGTTTGCATGCCAAGTCTTCACACACACCTTGATAAGGTTAAACCTCCACTTTCCCTGTGACCACAGACTGGTCGTTGACCCGCCAGAGCTGCACCGAGGAGGTTCCAGCCTGCAGCCCCCGGTGACAGCGGGAGGGAGCGGGGGTGGGGTGGGATGGGGGGAAGACCTGGCCCGAGACCCAGCGGGTCTTCAGTCCCCCGATTCCCAACCCTTTATTTAGGAGGTGAAGGCAAGCCGGAGCGAACCACCGCAGTGGGTGGGAGGGGATCGGGCTGAGCAGGAGTGGAAGGGCCGAGCGGGGCTGGGAGGCAGTTGCGGGGCGGGAGCACAGCACTTCTCTCCCCGGCGTCAGGAGCTGAGGGGCCAGACTCCGCCCACATTGGGCGCCTGGGAACCACGTGATCCAGTTCGGGGGCGGGGCAGAACGCGTCCCCGCCCCGCGTGCATGCGCATCGGCCAGGCGCTGAAATTCAAATTTGAACGGCTGCGGTGGGGGGCGGAGTCTGACAACCACAGGGGAGAGGAAAGCCGGCGGCGGGAGGACTTCCGTGTGCCGGGACTCTGCGGAGATACACGGCGGGGACCCAAACTCACTTCTTTCGTCTTCCTGACTTTGAACCACCGTTTCCATAGTCTCGTATTCCAGAGGTGACGCTTGGGGCGATGGACCCGTTCACGGAGGTGAGAAAATCTGCGGGCGCAGTCCCCCATGACCCCTCTCGGTCCCCGCCCTCCCGTCCCTTCCCTTCTCGCTTTCCCGTCAGCGTCTGGCCCACCCGGCGGGGAGCGGTGCGGTGCGAGCGTATGCGCGCGTGCGCAGTGCGGGCGAGGCCCGCGCGTGCGGGGTCCCGGCGCCTCGGGGTCGCGGACTGGGCTGGGATAAGTGTTTGTAGGTCACCCGCGGGAGGAAGGCCTGAAGTCGGGTCTTAGAAAAAGCGCTGGTGCACAAACCCCTGGCAGCGCTCTGACAGCGAGGGGTCCCCCACAGCGGCCCTGGGGAGCGAGGCGGGGTCCGACGGGAAAGGCTGGGCTCGTCGAGGGCACAGCTCTGGCAGGAGGGGTGTGGTGATGCCCGTGCGCTGGCAGGAGGGGTGTGGTGATGCGCGTGCGCTGCTGGCTCTCTGGGGATCTGTGCACAAAACGATGCTATCTTTGCAATGACCGCCTCCCCGGTCTGTTCCTCCCCCTTCACATCTGATTGCTCAATTTCATACCAAGCCTGGCGCTTTAAGGAAAGCAAATGGCTGGCTAGCCTGGTGTGTGCAAAACCAGAACCATCAGCCCCGGATGGAAGCGTTGCACACTCACAGAAACCCAAGAAGTGACCCTATGAATGTTTAGGGAACACATCACCCAACGAGACCTTCCTCATTTTTGGCTCACTGAAAAATAGGAGAGGGATTCCACGGTTATAGAGTGGATTATTTCTGTAAGGTGTGTGTGTACATGTGTGCTCACACCAGTACTGAGGTTTGAACTCAGGGCTTGGGCACTGCCCCGTAGCTCTTTTTTCCCCCCTCTCAAAACTAGCGTTCTACCACTTGAGCAGCAGTTTCACTTCTACCTTTCGGTGGTTAATTGGAGAGAGGAGTCTTTCTTACCCATTTCCCTAGCCTGGACTTTTGGGCTGCCTTCCGCAGAGATGGAGATCCTCAGATCTCAGCCTCCTGAGGAGCTAAGACTACAGACATGAGCCACCAGCTATCCATGTAATTTTAGCTTCATGTTGAGAATGCACATTGATACATTGAGAGTTTGCTGTGTGTGGCTTGACTCCTTTTTATTCCAGGACAGTTCCTCTTTTCTTTCTTACTCTTTCTGTAGGCTGTTCTGCAAGTTTCAAACTGTCATGAGTTTTGCTTTGTTGGGAAATAGGCTTAAACATGGCTCTAACCTACATTGAAAATTGCAATTAAGTAGTAATACATTCTTCAGTAGGTGGGGTGTGGCTGCAGTTCTTCCAGCTAAGTCTATGATACTAATTAAAGGTTTCAACCCTTGCAGTTTCCTGGTATTTAGATGTGATAATTATCTATTTTTTTCTGCTTCCAAATCTCACTTTTCTTGGGGAAAACTCATGGATTTGTTAAGCATACTTAGAAGATTCTAATAGAAAAGTGCAGGGCCTGCTTTTGTATTAATAGCTTTAGAGAATAGGGCTAGTCACACACCAGATGTCACATAGAAATAAAAAAGGACATGTTATGAATGCAAAATAGAATTTCTTAAAGCAATGCTATATGTTCTTAGTCACTGACAGAAGCAAAACATTTTGCTTGGCTGATAAATTGTACTTTGTTTTACTTTAAAATGTCATTCTGAAGCAAGTACGAATCTCAGATGAAAGAATGTTCTTAGTAATGCGATGGTTTAACATGCATAGTTTATTATACGAGTGGACGGTTGGATCCGTTGCAGTTGGAATAACAGCTTTTCCATCCTTTCCTTAATTGGTCATGAGTGAACCATTTGAATTGATTCCAACTTCTAGGTGCTTGATGATTGCATTCATCCTATTTTTTCTCCCTGTAAAATGAACTTCTGATACAGTTCCTTAAGGCCAAAAGTCAAGCAGATCCCTACTCAAACTCATGGAACACAGAAAACTATTTGAGAGGCTGTTTTCTCAGCTCTCCCAATGCCATGCTACAAACATAGGAAAGAAATTAGCTTGGTACATTAATGCAACATACTGACCCCTTTTTGTCCTGGCATTCATATATCTTGTTTCCCAATTATATTACTTGTTATTTTATGTTTTTTAAATGCCTCTACTGTTTCAAGAAAGTGTGATATTTGAAGGAAAGCATATTCAAAAGAATCCTTAAAATCTTGATATATTACAAGGAAGAGCAGCATACACTTATTGAGCAGCTAAGATTATGTAGATATATTATTTCCTTAGCATTATTAGCTTTATATTTACAATTTAGGGAACCTACTTTGCTTATCTTTAATTTTTTTATGGGTATATTTGAATCCATTGCAAACAAGAGAATACTTGTGTGTATTTGAATGGCAAAACCACATTCTTTTGTTGTGCCCCATTGCTCCTGGTAACTGAAACTACACTGACTCACAAGTATTCTAACTGACAGGAATGGAATGTGGGCATGGCCATTACTGAATATTTTAGGCACGTTTTGTGTCTGCTGAGAGAGATTTTATCTTGTGGGAAATGATCAGATCTTGATCACTTCCAAGTTAGTTGGAAGAGACATGTTTTGGAAGGCATTGGACTGATAAATCACTTTTGGTGACCCATAACCTTGATCTAGTGTCATTTCCTCAAATTAGAAGTAATTCCTCAGAAGAGTAGAGTTGTACTTTCTTCCAAATTTTGCTCATGCTCCTTTTATATACTTAGAGAGTAGTTAAAAAATTGTGATTTCATTTTAATTAAGGAATTAAAAGATCAAATGTGGTCTAGTTCCTCAATCTGCACTAACTACTGTATCTGTTTGTTATAGGCAGTGTGAATGAATCTGCATCTTTCCTGTGTGTGGTTCTGTGTGCTTTTGAAAGAGCTTACATTTTTATTTTTATTTTTTTTTGGGTCTGGTCATGGGGCCTAAACTCTGGGCCTGGGCGCTGTCCCTCAGCTCTTCAGCTCAAGGCTAGCACTTTACCACTTGAGCCACAGCACCACTTCCGGCTTTTTTCTTTTTGCTTATGTGGTGCCGAGGAATTGAACCCAGGGTCTCAGGCATGCAAGGCAAGCGCTCTACCACTGAGCCACCTTCCCAGCCCCCAGAGCTTACATTTTTATGACACCTCACTGATGAAAGTGGGAACATCAGTGGGAGAATGTCTTCTGAATGGGTAACTGTTATCCTTTATTATCACCTTAGTGTTATTGCATCAGATCAGTTGGCTGAATGTTTTTTTGTTATTTTTGTTTTTGTCTCTGTGTAACTCATTAATTCTCTTTTAGTTCTATAAGTCCAAGAACAGGAGTGGGCTTTACTAAGTTAAAAATCAAGATTTTGACAGGATTTCATTCCAACTAGAAGCTGTAGTGGAAAATTTGTTTCTTTGCCTTTTTAGCTTTTCCAACTTCTAGCAGCCCTTTTGACTTGTGTCCTTTTACTTTCTCCATCTTTGAAGCTACCAGTCACACTACTCTGATTTTTGTTAACACGTCTTTTCTGACTCTGATCTTCCTGCCTGTCTTTTGTTGCTTGTAATTAAGGACCATTGTGATTACACCAGACAGAGATTCCACCTCAGAAATCTTAATCCCTTAATCTTTGCTATAGGGAACATAATCACCAGGATGTATAAACATCTTTGGAGAGATCAATATCGTGCCTTACGTGCCGACTTGGAACAAGCACTTTACTTTTCATTATTAAACAGTGCTTGTGTTGGGCTCAGCTGGGCTTTCATGCTGCTGTTCTTCCCTGAGATCCTGTAGGGTTTCTTAGTAATCTAGAAGCTTTAGGTGTTCTTACTTGTGTGGATGGTGGTTGATGCTGTCAGTGCAGCCCTGTTTTCTCCAGCAGACTCAGCCACTACTTCTGCCATATTTTATTGGTCAGAGAAAATCACACAAGGCCAGCCCAGATTCAAAAGCGGGGAAGTAAATTAATCCTTTTGACGGGAGGAGAAAAAACTTGTGGTCATTTATAATCTTATACAACTATCTGTGTACATTGTATTGTCTCTTAATATTCATATTAGTTATGTTAATTGCATTACTTATTATATTGATCAGTATTCATATTAATTATATTAATGATAATTTTGATAATGAAATGCTTGTTTGGTGGATCTTCCTTTTTGTCCATACTGGGGTGTGAACTCAAGGCCTGTGCTTCCTAGATGAAAGCTCTACACCTCTGCCATCCCACCAGGCCTTGTTTGTGTTGGTTAGTTTTGAGATAGAGTTTTGCTTTACGCCTGGGTAAGTCTGGATACTGTTTCTAGTTTGACAGCTGTATATCACTACACCTTGACATTGGTTTTGGTGGACTCCTGTGAACTTTTTTCTTTTGTTCTGTTGGCCTCAAACCATGGTTCCCCTGATCTCTACCTCCCAATAGGTGGGATTACAGACTTATGCCACCAGTCCCACTTGCTGACTCTTGATTTTAATTACTTAGATTTCACTTTTGAAATGTAGAACAATTGTTGATTTTTGAAGATAGCAGAAATTTTCAGAGCCTTTGGCTAATCTTGTGTTTTAACATTGATGAAATGCAGAAACTGCTTGAACGAACCCGTGCCAGAAGAGAGAACCTTCAGAAAAAGATGGCTGAGCGGCCCATACCAGCAGCCAGGACTGCAGCACACATAAAGCGAGCGCGGGAACCACTTTCAGAAGCAAGTAACCAGCAGCCCTTGGCTGGTGGAGAAGGTAAAAGACTTTGTGAGGGAAAGGGAAAAATTGTAAGTTTTGAAGGACATAAACTCGCAGCATTTCTTTCTGTGTGTGGAAGAACCAAGGTCTTTGGAAAAAACAATGGTCTTACCTCTGGGTCAAGAGTGGTCATCTCTCATTTGTTCCAGGGTTATCACATTGGGCCTGGTATCTTATCAGGCTAAACTTTTCCTCCTCCTCCTCCTCTTCCTCCTCCTCCTCCTCCTTCCCCTCTTCCTCCCCCCTCTTCTCCTTCCTCCCCCCTCCTCTCCTTCCTTCCTTTCTTCCTTCCTTCCTTCCTTCCTTCCTTCCTTCCTTCCCTCCCTCCCTTGAGCTTCAGAGAGCCAATTCTCTAAGAAATACTGGGCTATGCATTCCTGTCCCAGGTAACAACAGACAGACTGTAAATGCATGAAGCTTAATGACTCTTTCATTCTGTGTTCACTGAAGTAATATAGGGCTAAAGCTTGAAGTTTAGCTTTTTATTTTCCAGAAGTGGGGGATTAAATCTCTGTCTCTGTCTCTGTTTCTCTAGCCAGACTATCCTGGAATCTTATTCTTTCCTGACTCTTTGCGTTTCTAGCTGCTTTTTTTTTTTTTCTGGAATATGAGTCTGAAAATAATAACTTTTAGAATAATATTAAAATACATATAGAAAAAGACTATTACAAAAGACAAAACCATTGTTGCAGAAATACAAAGAAGGCACAGGGCTGGCTTCATTATTTTTTAAGCAAGCCACAGAAGGAGAATTTATTTCTCTGCATTTAGACCTTCTGAAGAAGAGAAGGAAGTGAATTACATATATGGCATTCAGCTAGGAGCAGAGGGACCTGGCTCGAGTCTAGGGTATTTTGTTTTTTTTCACTGTGACATAGGTTTGTACTATAATTACAAACTTGAGAACTAGTGTTTGGAGCTTCATTTTGGTACTTAATTGGAATTATTTACTGTTTTATGAAAGAATCATCAACTTGGAGAATTCTGTGACTTTGGGTGATAGTGCCTGTTAATATTTCTGGTTTATAGAAGACAGAATGAGGAAAGAGCAGAAAGTATTGGAGCCAGGTGTGATGGTACATACCTGTAATTTCAGCTAGTCAGTAGTCAGCAATCAGGAAGATGAAGGTTCCAGGCCAGCCCCACTAAAAGAGTCAGCAAGACTCAATCTCAACCAATAAGGCAGGTGTAGTGGTGTAGGTCTGTGATACCAGCTGTGTTTGAGGCCTAAGGAGGAGGATCTGGATCTGAAGCCAGCCTTAGGCAAAAATTCAAGATCCTATCTGATAAATAACAAAGAAAAAAATGGCCTTGGGGAGTTGCTTCTGTGCTGCTCAAGGCAATTGAGTTCAACTCACAAAGGGGTTTGAGTATTGCTCCTTGTGAGATCTGTATTTAATTAGGTTGTATTTAAGAGTATAATCACAACCTCCCACTTCTACTACCTGGTCACTGCCAGAACAGAACACTTGGCCAGACAGGTAGTAAAACCGACCTTAAGGAAATTCACATTCTTACTTTTTATTCTTTTTTTTTCTTTTTATTCATTTATTCATTATTTATTGTTATTTTTTGAGACAGGCTGTCATTATGTAGCTCAGGCTGGCCTTGAACTTGCCATCTGCCTGTCTCAGCTTCCTGAATCCTGGAATTGTATGCAAGTACCACAGGTCTGGCCAGTAGGTTTGGTTATTATTATTTTGCGTGTGTGGTACCAGAGTTTGAACTCAGGTACTAGTATTTGCTAGGTAAGTATTTTGTAATTTTTTACTTATTTTATACATGTGTATCTAAGTTTAAGATGAAAAATGTTAAATCTTTTCCTTTCATTTTGACATTTGAGATGAAGTCTCACTAATTGATTGAGACTGGCCTGTAATTCATTATGTAGCCCAGGCTGGCTTTGAACTTGCAATCTTCCTGTCTCAGACTACTCAGTAGCTGGGATTACAGTGTCTACCAACACACTCAACTTACAGATAATTTAGTAGCTTGTTTTCTTTTTCTTTTTTGCTTCTCTCCTAAGCCACAAGCTGAGTATTCTACCTTGCTTATAGCTATTTTTGAAAGATTTGCTTTTCCCCCAGCAAAAGCAGAAAAACTATTTTCCCCCTTTAAATTCAATTTCTGACTTTAGTTGATTGAATAACTTAATTTTCTTACCCAAAATGAGGTGGTTGGGCTAGTTGGTCTGTAAAATCCTTTGGAGCACTCAGTATTTTGTGTGTATGCACTATTTTCTGTTGTTATAGGACAATATAAAGTATTATGCATTCATATTGAGAATGTTATTTAAATTTCTTTTCAGTAAGGTTTTGAGCCAGGAATTTCAAGTTCATTTAAAAAGAGATCTTTAATGTCAGATTTCTAAGCTTCTGAAGAGTGGGGTTTTCAGATATTTCTTATTATAAATGACAACATCTAAAGTATTAGAGAAACTTGATGTTTTATTAATTTGCTCATATATTTCATGCTGTTAAAAAAAGCATAGAATTTTCAATGCCTCTTTATTGTTTTTAATCCAGAGAAATCGTGTACAAAACCATCACCATCAAAAAAGCGCTGTTCTGATAAAACTGAGGCTGAAGTTTCTAACCTGGAAAATGAACAACCCCGTGAGTTGACCAGTCTGAAATCTCCAAGACCCATTTCTCTTCAGGCGCAGCCACCAGTGTCAGCTACTATTAGCGATTCTGTGGCCGCCCCAGCACCACAGCTGGGGATGGGGAGAGGCCTGGACTCCAGACTGGAAGTAACCACAGGCTCCTCTGTGAAAACCCGCATGCAGAAACTTGCTGAGCAGAGGCGCCATTGGGATACCGATCTCACAGGTAGGAGTAGTCTAGAAGGTGACAATGAGGTTCTCAGAGTAGTTCATGGAAGCCTGACCTTACAACCGAATTCATTTGAAACTGTAGTGAGAAATGGCAGAGAGCATACTGTACCTGCTGTTATTAGCAGGTGCAGGTACTGAATCTCTGCTGTGTATCCAGGAAAGCCCATTTCTTGGATTTACTTACTACATAAGTTAGAGCTGCTGAGGTATACAGTGCTGTTTGGTAGAGGAGAAAGAAAACTGTCAAAAAACCATATATAGGTAACCTGAAAAACATAGTCCTATGCTACAATGCTAGAAAGAGATGAGGGCTTATATGCTTGATGTTGATGAACCTGTAATCAGGTGAAGGGCCTGAGAAGTGTTGACAGTTATCTGACAGGGTTATTTGTGCTATGATCTATTCTATCTACTGACTTGTTATAAAGAAGATTGAGATGACTTACAAAAATAAAATACCTGCATTATAAAACAGGGATATCAAAGTAGAAAATATAGGAAGGAAGGACAAAGACATGAAAAGTAAACTTAGCTTGCTAAGATCCTTGTCTTTTAGCAGCTAATGAAAAGAGGGGAAACAGTGCCCTAATAATATTCACAATTTAAAACCACAGCTATCTCTGGCACTAACACGCAAAAGAACTTTCCCTCATTGTTCCCAGAGTTGATATTAAAGGGTAGTAAACACATAAAATTTCTCAAGGTAGCCAAGTGGCCTGGCTCCAAACCCAGTATAATAGTAAGCCAGCTCTGTGCAGGTGGACAGCTCAGTACAGAAAAAGACTTCAGAACAGTAGACAGCTTAGGACAGGTAGACAGCTCAGTGTAGGTAGATAGTATAGTAGTATTATTTGTGATTTATCTCCACGTGAAATGACTGCAGTAAACATTTTATTTTGTCTAACCCTGTGTTGTCTGAATAGTATCCATTAACCATATGGAATTATATTTGAAATAATTAAAATAAAATTAAGATTCTTACACCCTGGCTACATTTCAAGTGCCAGCTAGCCATGTGTGGGTAGAGGTAACTTTATTTAGATAGTGGACATGTTTATAGAAAATTCCATTGTGTTCTTGTATATACATTTATCTAATTTGGGGAGGGGAAGAGGAATAACAAAATGCTGAAACAAGGACACAGGATGACCCATTGTAACAATGATGCTCACAAGACACTATGTTGGAAATGAACCTTCTAACTTTTGGGGGGAAGTAGTGGGAGAAAAACAAAGGAGGGAGTAACAAGAAATGTCTTTATGGGCTGGGAAGGTGGCTCAGTGGTAGAGCGCTTGCCTTGCATGCATGAGACCCTGGGTTTGATTCCTCAGCACCACATAAGCAAAAAGAAAAAAAGCCGGAAGTGGTTCTGTGGCTCAAGTGGTAGAGCGCTAGCCTTGATCTGAAGAACTGAGGGACAGCGCCCAGGCCCAGAGTTCAGGCCCCAGGACTGGACCCCCCCCCAAAAAAAAAAAAAAAAAGAAATGTACTCCATTACCTTACTGACGTAACTGTAACCTCTCTGTATGGCATCTTTACAAGAAAATGATTTTTTTTTTTAAGAAAATTCCATTGTGTGCCATTAGTCTGCATTTTAAAGCAAAAGTTCCTGTGGAGGCCTTATGCAATCTTAAGTTACTTACTATTAGGACACTAGGCATTAATTCTGAGGATATAGTTGTAACATTGTATCCTATAGCATTAATAATTTATTGCACATTGAAAAGAGTAGATGTTAACAGTATTCTCTTGTAATTTGGATTAAGTCACTTGATTAGAAAAGATGTCAAATTTAAATACTTAGATATGTCATGCATAAAAGCTTTTTGGTGTTTCTTTTAAAAAAATTTTATTTTATTGTAAAGATGCTGTACAGAGGGGTTACAATTTCACAAGTAAGGTGATGAATACATTTCTTTTTTTATTGTGAAAATACTGTACAGAGGGGTTACAATTACATGGGCAAGATAATGAGTACATTTCTTATCAAGCATTGTAGCCTCCTCCTTTGTTTCCCCTTCCCATCCCTTCCCATCCTCCTACCCCCGACCCCCCCAATTCTCCACCCGCCACCCTCCCCCCCCCTCCGCCCCACCAAAGTTGTAAAGTTGGTTTCAACATAATAACTTGTACATCCCCACCAAAGTTGTAAAGTTCGTTTTCAACATAATAACTTGTACATCTCATTGTTGCAATGGGTCCACCCGTTTCCCTATTTAAACAATTTGTTTTTTTTTCCCTTCCCCTCCACAAATTATGCCAACATCAAATACAGTGAAAGCAGGGGTTATACTGTGGTGGAGGGACATACAAAGCAACAAAGAAATAATCTTATAAATGTGTTAGAAACAATCGCATGAAAGAAAAAAAAAACATTTGAATATATATCTTAGGGCTCATTTCCCTAACATCAACTTATCTGACCTTTACTGCTTGACTCACATATACTAGTTATTGCAAATAAGGGAAACCATGGTACCTATGTTTCTTTGGGCCTGGCTTACTTCACTTATGAATACATTTCTTGTCAAACATTGTTACCCCCTCTTTTGTTTTTTTTTTTCCTACTATCCCTTCCTGCCCTCCCCTCTCCCCACAAAGTTATAAGAGAGTATCATTGTTGCAATGGGTCAACCTGTGTCCTTGTTTCAGCATTTTGTTATTCCTCTTCCCCTCCCCAAATTAGATAAATGTATATTGGTGGTCCTTTTTTTTTTTTTTTCTGGTTGTGGGCCTAGACTCTGGGCCTAGGGGCTGTGCCTCAGCTCTTCAGCTCAAGGCAAGCACTCTACCAACTTGAGCCACAATGCCACTTCCAGCTTTTTTCTGCTTATGTGGTGCTGAGGAATCGAACCCAGGGCTTCATGCATGCAAGGCAAGTGCTCTACCACTGAGCCACCTTCCCAGCCCTATTGGTGGTTCTTAAACCTAGTAATCTCATTTAAAGATTCTGTATAAAGCAATCCCATTGTTTTACATAACTCTTGGACACAATTTCTAAGTTTTTGTTCTGGAAACATTTCAGGTGATATACTGGAAAGCTCCCCCTCCTTACCAATGCCATACGAAGAAAAGGTGCCCTCCCCTCCCAAGCCACCAGTACCAGATGCCTCTTCTGCCCCAATTGGGAGAAGAGGCCGTCTGGCCAACCTTGCTGCAGCGATCTGCTCCTGGGAAGATGATGTAAGCTACTCATCTGCAAAGCAAAGCAGTGTACAGGAACAGCCTGGCACCACTTGTTTATCCAAATTTTCCTCTGCCAGTGGAGCATCTGCTAGGATCAATAGTGGCAGTGTTAAGCAGGAAGCTACATGCTGTTCCCCAAGGGATGGCGAGGCCTCTTTGAACAAAGCCCAGTCCTCCAGTGCTGCTGCTTCATCTTTGGTTAATGCCTCAGTTTCCAGCTCTGTGGTGAGTCAATGCTGTCTTGGTCTTTGGAAACTTCTTTTGTTAAAGAGTGGTAATGGTTAAATATGTATGTAGGTATTAGTTTTATAGAATATGTACAGTGTGTGTGCATTTTTGGAATCTGCATTTCATAGAAATGCAACTTACTCCGAGGTAAATTAGCATTCTGAGCTGAAATAAATTTAATGCAAATCCAGGATATGTAGTAATGGAAAGATGAAGCCTCTTCTTGGTTTCCAAGAGGAGCACTGAAAGCCCCTTTATTACAATGCTTTTGCATGTATTCCTATGGAATGTTGATTATTTCTGAAAAGCATACTAAGTACCGATAGTTGCCTCCAGGAAGGCAAATAATGTCAAAAAAAGGAAAAGGAAAATGAATCTGTTTCTGGGTTGTTGGAATTAGACCTGCTCAGTCCAACTCTGCAACATATTTCCATGGGCATTTATTACATTTTACTTCATCTTGTAAAGCCTTGTTTTTCCATATATATATGTAGATAAAATGGGAAGAAAGTTACTTAGAAGGGTAAGTGAGATGTATAATTCTGATTGGTTATCATTAGCTAGTGATTGGTTATCATTAACCATCAAGTACCAGAAACTATATTTTGAGCATCCCTATCTGAAAATCTGAAATTTGAAATACTTTAAGCTCTGAAACTTAACCAGATGTGGTGGTACACATTTGTAATATCAGCACTGATGTGGCTGAGGTAGAGGATTGTTTGTTTGAGGACAATCTGAGCTATATAGTGACACTCTGCCTTTAAAAAAGTGAGAAAAAAGTATCTGAAAATTTAAGCATCAGAAATGACACCACAAGTGGAAAATTGTGTCATGCATGAAATTATTAAAAATACCATATAAATTCTTTTGCTCTACCTTCCTGTTTTCCCTAGGTCATTTCATCTACATTTAACGTGTACATTCTTCTTCTATGTACTTATGACTCTCAAATATATATCTACAGCTACAAAGCTTCCTTGTAACCCAATCCTATAAAGAAAAACTTCCTACATAAAAATAACACCATATAAAATTACCATTAAGTTACATGTCTAAAATGTATATGAAACATAAATGAGTTTTATGCTTAGACTTGGGGATCAACTCATGCCAAAATTCTCAAAAAGTATGAAATTTCAGACACTGGTTCCAGGGATTTCAGATAAGTGATACTCAACCTATCTCTTGTTGAATTGATGTTTTATTAAAAATGAAATATGGTTTAATAAAGGTACTAGTGTATTCATATGCATAAAATTTTATAAAATAACTGTCCTCTTAACATTTAATTACCTATCAATATATTATATATGACTTATTACCAGTTTTTTAAGCTGCTCTTTTCAAAATAATTCAATGTAGTTTGATCTGTGAGAGAGCAATTTTTTTTTACCGTAAGTCTTAGGCTGCCAAGTAAATGAGAGTTGAGTTCTTTGGTTACAGGAATACCTGTTGATACTATGAATGTTCATGTTAATGTTGTTATGTTTCAGAAAGATACTTTGTCTCCAGTGAAATCTGCTGCATCCATCACCACTACAAAAAATTGCGAGGTTCAAAATCCTGAGCTACTTCAGAAAACTCCAGTTAGTCCTTTGAGAACAGGGGCGTCAAAAACAGCTGTGAAGTCAGGTTTGTCCCAGATAGTTCAGTCCAGAGAAGAAAGCAGAGAAATTTGTCTGCAGCCTCAATCCAAAGACAAATCTACAACACCAGGTTATGTATTAAAAGCAAATAAACGAATCTAAAGTTACTTCTAAAGTTATTCAAGGTAGCTGTTCTCAGCAATCATAATGCCCATTTGTGAATTGTAGAGGATTGGTTTGTTGAAACAAGTGCTCTAATGTTCCAAATAAGACTTCTTACTAAGCTTTAATTAATTGAATAAATATTCTTTAGTGTAGATTAGCTTATTAGCTGGTATGGTATAACCTATTTCATTTTAGCTTCTCCAGGATGGTTGTATTGGATGATTTTTTTCCTAAATTTTCTGATTCAGGAAAGCAGTTTTCTTTTTTTTTTGGGGTCCGGTCATGGAGCCTGAACTCTGGGCCTGGGCGCTGTCCCTCAGCTCTTCAGCTCAAGGCTAGCGCTCTACCACTTGAGCCACAGTGCCACTTCCGGCTTTTTTTTTTTTTTTCATTTTGCTTATGTGGTGCTGAGGAATTGAACCCAGGGTCTCATGCATGCAAGGCAAGCGCTCTACCACTGAGCCACCTTCCCAGCCCCAGGAAAGCAGTTTTCTATATATAATGGGGAACTGTTTTGTATCATCATACAACCCTTCTCAGTACCCATCTGAGGTCAGCCAGCCCTCGAAAGGCAAAGGCTTAGATCAGAAATATTTTCAGGGATTGGATGTTTAATTAAATGTTTCTTTGTATATTACTGGATTCTAGTTTGACGTATGACATGAAGTGGTAATAAGTAACAGGTTGGGTCCTCGAGTAATGGCCACAGATCAAATTATTTAAAAAAAAATCTCTATTTTTGGCAGTACTACAATTTGAGCTCATAGCCTTATGCTTGGCAGAAAAATGTTCTGTCACTTGAGCCATTCCTCTGGCTCTGAAATTATTTTAATTTTATTTAAAATTTTTAAATTGTTATTTTAAATTGTTATAAAGGTGATGTATAGAGGGGTATAGTTATATAAGTCAGATAATGAGAACATTTCTTTTTGGACAATGTCACTCTTTCCTTTGCTCTCCCAGTTTTTCCCTCCTGTCCCTATCCATAAGTTATATAGTTTGTGTATACAGTGAGTATTAAATTTATTTTTAAATGATTTTGATTTAGTATGTGAATTCTGTTATTAAGTGACATTAACCAATCAAAAAAGACAAAAAGAACACAGAAAGGTCAAGTGGGGCATAGTGTCACATGTCTGGTACCTCCCTCCCCCCAACAGAGCTGGTTTTACTTTATTTATCTATGTAGTGTGTGTGTGTCTGTGTGTGTGTGTGTGTGTGTGTGTGTCTGTGTGTGTGTGTGTGTGTGTGTGTCTGTGTGTGTGTTAATTGTATCAAGGGGTTTCCCTATGGCTTTTCTCTTTCCTTGCCTGGTTTGAAGGTTTTCTGAGACATCCCTACATAATTTGGGAATGGTGCTTTTTTACTTTATTTATCTATGTACTTTGTGTGTGTGTGTGTGTGTGTGTGTGTGTGTGTGTGTGTGTGTGTGTGTGTGTGTGTGTGTGTTAATTGTACCAAGGGGTTTCCCTATGGCTTTTCTCTTTTCTTGCCTGGTTTGAAGGTTTTCTGAGACATCCTTACATAATTTGGGAATGGTGCTCATTTGATCCTATTAAGGCCTTGGCTCCCTGGGGTCCCTCCTCTGCTCTGTGTGCTTTGTGGTTTAAGGATGCACCCAACATACCTGCAGCCCCAGTGATGGATTATGGGCCCAGAAACAGGATAGCCTCCTACTCCACTCCCACACTCCCACTCCTGGGACCCAGTCTACTCTGTTCTTTCCAGACCCCTTCCCAGCTAGACAAGTTTCAGGCATCTGGCCCAGCTGTGTAGTGAGGGTGTTCAGGACTGTAGTCGTGATGGGGGATGAGGCTCCTGGCATTAGACATTACAAATGGGATTCCTTTTCTCTCAGATCAAATTGTTTCTTTTGCTTTTTTCCAAACAAATTTTATTGGAACAACCATAGCCATTTATTTACATGTTTTTTGTGGTTGCTTTCATGTAGAGTTAAAAGTAGTCACTATCGGCGCTGTGACTCAAGTGGTAGAGCGATAGCCTTGAGCTGAAGAGCTGAGGGACAGTGCTCAGGCCCAGAGTTCAAGCCCCATGACCGGATTCCCCCCCCCCAAAAAAAAACAAAACAACAAACTAAGTGAAATTGTTTTAAAGTGGTGAGTGGGATAAGGGAAAGTAATGAATGGGGAGAGATAAAGTTGGCTGGAATACATTGTACACATGAATTCCTCCTTGTAAAACTAATGGAGGCTAATGAAAATACTAAATAAATTTCAAAAATGTTTAAAATGAGTTAGGCACAGCTACTCAGGAAACAGAGATTATATTTTGAGGCCAGTGCGGGCAGAAAGTTTGCATAACTCTACCTCAACAATTAACTGGGCATAATGGTTCATGCCTGTGATCTCAGCCATATGGGAGGTATAAGTAGAGATATTCTGTTCCAGTCTAGCCTTGGGCAAAAAGATGAGATCCTATCCAAAAAATAACTAAAGTAAAAAAGGATGGAATGCTGATTCAAGTGGTGAAATGCTCGCTTAACAAGTTGGAGGTTTTGAGATCTAACCCTACTACTATAGAAAATAATTTTAAAATATTTAAAATAATAACTTTCATTTTCTACATATTTATCACATTTAAAAACTTAAAACCACCCTGGGCACCAGTGGCTCACACCTGTAATCCTAGCTGCTTAGAAGGTTGGAATCTGAGGATCAAGATTTGAAGTCTTATTTGCAATATAAGCAGAAAATGTCAGATAAGTTGATGTTAGGGAAATGAACCCTAAGATATATATTCAAATGTTTTTTTGCTTTTATGCGATTGTTTCTAACACATTTATAAGATTATTTCTTTGTTGCCTTGTATGTCCCTCCCCCATGGTATAACCCCTGCTTTCACTATATTTGATGTCGGTATAATTTGTGGAGGGGAAGGGGAAAAACAAATTGGTTTAAATAGGGATACAGGTGGACCCGTTGCAACAATGAGATGTATAAGTCGTTATGTCGAAAACAAACTTTACAACTTTGGTGGGTGAGGGGAGGGCAGGGACGGGGGGGGAGGGGAGGATGGGAAGGAATGGGAAGGGGAAACAAAGGAGGAGGCTACAATGCTTGATAAGAAATGTACTCATTATCTTGCCCATGTAATTGTAACCCCTCTGTACAGTATTTTTATAATAAAAAAATTTAAAAAAAGTCACTATCATGCCATGTACAGGACAGTATTTGGCAACCTGTGATATGGTTAAGACTGGTTTTTACATGGATGGAGGGGTTGATACACATACACAACTGTCCCCCTATGGTGTATACTTTATACTATTTAAAGAAATAAGTACTGTTTTCAATAGACTATAAAATCAGTCCTTTGATGAGGGTTAATTCATACTTTTTTTTTTTTGAGAAGTTAAAGGAAGAACTTCCAGATTGTTATGTTAGACTTCCTGAAAACAGAATAAAATAAATTGGACTGGAGAAATGTAAAGAGTTAGAAGTTATCATGGCTAGAATACTTCTTGGTTAAGGTAGATTTGTTAGTTCTTATATAATTAATTTCTAATCCCTTAAGTTCTGATTGCTCAGTTTAAGTGTTCTCCACTCCCCACTGTCTTTTCACTGTTTTGAAAGTACCTTTTTCTCTTTTTTTTCCTTTCTCCTTGTCCCACTGGGGATTGGACCTAAGGCTTCACACATGCTAGACAAGTATGTGAAGCTATATTTATTCTGAGCACTATTTCTTTTTTTAAACTAAAAACTCTAAAATACATTTTAGGAAATGTAATTTTTTGAAGTATTTTTCATAAGTTCTTTTGTGAATGAATATTTCTAGTAGAATCAAGACATAGATTTCAGAACTTTCTTCCACAGATATTGCAGTTAGTAGTTATTCTGAATAGGCTTCAAAACTGCATGTGTTTTCTGCAGGAGGGAGAGGAATTAAGCCTTTCCTAGAGCGCTTTGGAGAGCGTTGTCAAGAACACAGCAAGGGAAGCCCACCTCGGGGCACCTCCCAGAGGACCCCTGTCATCACTCCAAACACAAAGGCCATCCAAGAGCGATTGTTCCGGCAGAATGGAGGCTCATCGACTGCCCATGTAGCTGAGCAGCTCAAGCAGGTGTGCACTGTTCATCATAGGGTCTTGGCGTGGGGCCTGGGGGGGACAGGGCAGGGGGGGTGTTTAAAGCCCCTTCATTCTCTATCACTTGCTGCAAATTGGGAATGATATCCTATATTCTACGTATTGTGAGTTTTTCCATTTTAAAGTGGAAGACAAGGAAAGCTTTATATAGTGCTTGGCTGTTGCTCTTCATTATGTAACTGACTCTCATATAAAATACTCTTTTGGTGATTTAGGAGCGTCAGAAAGAACTAGCATGTCTTCGAGGCAGATTTGACAAGGGCAATTTATGGAGTGCCGAAAAAGACAAAAGCTCCAGAAGCAAACAACTAGACCCCAACCAGGTAATGTAAATAGGAAGTAGAAGACTGTATTTGGTGGCACAGTTGTCTTGAGATGTCATTTGTAGTTTGGTATTATAAGCACTTTCTATTTCTAGATGAATGTGACCCTTTCCATTTGTAGGCCACTTAAGTGATAAACAAAATAACTGCTTTTTTTTTTTCCTGTTATGGGGCCTGAATTCTGGGCCTGGGTGCTTTCCCTCAGCTCTTCGGCTCAAGGTGAGCACTCTACCACTTGAGCCACAGCACCACTTTTGTTTTTTTCTGCTTATGTGGTACTTATGTGGAATCAAACCTAGGGCCTCATGCAAACAAGACAATCACTGTACCACTGAGCCACCTTCCCAGCCCAGTAGCTGCTTTTTTAACCCTTTTAACCCTTCAAGCTCTTCATACTCACTGAGGATGCTAAAATCAAGCAAGAGGTATTTTCATTATTCAATTTCAGATTCCTTGTTATACTCTGCTTAGATGCTGGCTCTAAAATGTTCCCTAGAGTCTACCTTTCTCATTGAATTATTTACTTCTCCTCAAATAACATACAGATTGCAATTCTTTTTTTCTTTTCACTTGCTGTAGGATTTCCTTTTCCTCTGTTCTAGTCAGTACTAAGCTAGGATTCTAAGCTGACCTTAGGTATTGTGAATATTGATTCCTAATTCCTGAGTACTGATCCACCATAAGAGAAAGTAGAACATTGTAAGATTCTATCTTCCTTTGTAGCCCAAACTGACTTCTAACTTGTAGTCCATTGGTGTCAGCCAACTGAATGGTGGGATAATAGACATGTAACCTCATGCCTGGCTCCTTGTGTTTCCAGAGCTTTGGTTTAAGCCTTAAAGAGTGAGTATAGGACTGGGAAGGTGGCTCAGTGGTAGAGTGCTTGCCTTGCATGCATGAGGCTCTGGGTTCGATTCCTCAGCACCACATAACCAGAAAAAGCCAGAAGTGGCAGTGTGGCTTAAGTGGTAGAGTGCTTGCCTTGAGCTGAAGAGCTGAGGGACAGCACCCAGGCCCAGAGTTCAGGCCCCACGACCACCCAAAAAAAAAAGTGAGTATAGTTGTTTTTCTTTAGCACCTTAATTATTTGTTAATTTACTCATCAAAATGTTTGAGTGCTTACTGTGTGTGTGTGTGTGTGTGTGTGTGTGTGTGTGTGTGTGTATACATAGCACAGAAACAGTTTACTCTCAAAGTTATTGTAGCTTAGGCTCAATTTGAACTCAGGAGTTTCCTTTGCCAGCCTCTCTAGGGCTGGAATTAAAGGGTGCAGTTATACCAAGGAAATTTTCATTCCCTAAAAAAGATTTACATACTTGGAATTACCAGTACTCTGAACAAGCTGGAGGACCTGTGTTTTGAACAGGGCTAGGCCTCTTCACAAACATTCTCCTTTATTACGAGGAAACATCTTGAAGAATATCTAATAGCCTTGTTCCATTTAACTAGATAAGAGTTGTAGTCCAAGAAGCAGAGTTTACCTCTATTTGTTCTTTGCAGGAAGTTGGCCATCAGAACACTCCCCTCAAAAAGCATCAAGGTGGTTCAAATACTCAGTCATTTCCAGTAACAGACCAGGTACTGGAAAATCTGACCCCAGGAATAGCTTCTAGTACTGAACCCACAGGTAAGTGTTTTCTAATTGTACTTCCCTTAAAATGTAGATTTCAGCTCACTGTAATCTTGGTAATTGGACTAGAAAGCAGGAGTTACATAGCTTAGCTATGGTAAATAATGCTGCAGTGAACATAGGTGTGCTGGTAGCTTTAGTGTGGCCTTGTTTGTGATCATTTGGGTAAATGCCCAGGACTAGAATTACTGGATCATAGGAGAGCTCTAAGTTTAGTCTTTTGAGGAACCTTCATACTGCTTTCCAGAGTGGTTGAACCAGTTTATATTCTCACGAACAGTGTAGTAGCATTCCCTTTTGGCCACTTCCCCACCAGCCTCTGTTATTGTTTGTTTTCTTGATAATGGCCATCCTAACTGGGGTGAGGTGGAATCTCATTGTATTTTTGATGTGTGTTTCTTTTATGGCCAGAGATATTGAACATTTCTTCATGTATCTATTGACTATTCTTATTTCCTTTCCAGAGAAGGCTCTTTTTATTTCTTTAGACCACTTATTAATGGGGTGGTTGTTTCTTTAAGGATTTGTTATTGGGGAGGGTTAACTTTTTTGAGCTCTAATAAGGAACCAAACCAAATGCCCTTCAGTAGATGAATGGATCAGGAAAATGTGGTATATATACACAATGGAATTCTATGCTTCCGTCAAAAAGAATGACATCTCCCCATTCATAAGGAAATGGAAAGACTTGGGGAAAAAATCATATTAAGTGAAATGAGACAGACCCAAAGAAACATAGGCTCCATGGTTTCCCTCATTAGTAATAATTAGTGTATGTCTAGGATAGTTCTAGCAGAGGATCATAATAGATCATAGTATGTACATATGATCATATAAAATGATGCCAATCAAAATATACTCCAAGATATGGAAACCAGAGGCGTTTCTTTGTGTTGTTTTTTAATGTACTGTGTGAAGTTATTTCTTTTTTCTTTCTTTCTTTTTTTTCCTTTGGTTTATCCCCTGTTGTCACTGTTTTTGATTCTGGTACCCTGTGTCTTATATATACATTTGTCTGATTTGGGGAATGAAAGAGGAATGACAAAATGGTGAGATAAATAACAAAAAGTGAACTAATGCAACTCAAAAAATACTATGTTGGAAATAAACTTTACAACATGGTGGGGAGGGAAAGTGGGAGAAAAATGAGGGACAGGGTAAGACTGTTCAATAGGAAATGTACTCATTACCTTACTTATATAACTGTAACCCCTCTGTACATCACCTTTACAATAAAATAAAATAAAGCAGGAGTTACCTTCGCCTGTAAAGGGCAGATGCAGTTCATTTTACTCATTTCCACTAACCATGCAGATGCTTCCCCATGAATTCGCTTTCAGAGTGAGAACTCATATTTTCCCTCCACCCCCATTTCTCTCCCTCTCCTTCCTAGGTAGCATAGGCTAGCCTTGAACCTGCCCCTGTCTCCTAAATACTAGGATTGTAAGTGTGACTTACCATGCCTAGAGTTCATGGGCTATGTGCTAGGTATTTATTTTTTTATGGTACCTTGGATTTTATCCAGGGCTTTCATCTGCTAGACAAATACTCTACCACTTGGAGCATGTCTCTTGGCTATAACTTTTTTTTTTTTTTTTGAGAAACATTCAATAATATCTGATGAACTGTAAATGTGTGTACCAACTTTAATTCAGCTTTTTTCACAAATGGTCTAGGAACTAGATTCTTGAATTACTATGTAGTTTCTAATATTAATAATGTATATTATAAGAAAACCTAGGTGACATAAATGCGTATCAGAAGACTAAATAAATTGCATTACGTACATGTAATCAAGTACTTCGTAGCGGCCTAGAAGAATAAGGTAGTTTTATAAGATAGTTATTGTAGGCACTTCAGGGAGCCATAGTTTGAAATTTCTTTATTGGGATTAAGTAATTACATAAATTTATTGTGGCATAGTGGTACTTAGCTACTAAGTCACCAACACATTTTAACCTTCACATTGCAAATTGTTATTATCTTGATCTACAAAGCTTATGAACTCTACAGACTTTAACAATAAAACTATTTCTTCCGAATTTGATGTGTACATTTCTTTCCTTTTGCTTAGAGTCAGCTGTTTCCTCTTTCTCTCCCATTTCCTCCCTCCTGTCACCACCCTGAGTTGCTTAGTTCACTTTCATAAAAATCCAGTGCAGCTGATAGGCCCCTCTGCTGTATTGTTTTCACTTGTTTTCCTCTAGTTCTGTGCCCTCCTCCTAGTTTCCCTCAGATGTGAAAATATATATACCATATATGGGGTCAAGAACATAAAGTCGGCTAGAAACTATATGACAAATTAAGAAGAGGTCCTTTGTTTCTTGGGTCCCGTTTACTTTGTCATATCTTGTTGCATTTTGAATCTACATAGTTTGTAATTTTCAATGTACATTTTTTTATTTTCAATGTACATTTTTTATAATCTTTGTTATACTATTATGAATATATATTTTTTTCTTTTTTGGGGTAGAGAGTGTGTATTGAGAATTAGGTCTTGCTATGTAGTTGAGATTAAGCTAATGATCATTCTTCTTCAGGCTCTGAGAAATGAGATCACAGGCATGTGCTAACATTCCTTGCTAAATGTAATCATTTTGATTGTCAAGTATTGAGAGAGATACTGAACTGATTAAAAGAATCCAGATTGTTAAGTGGTGAGAGATATACCCAACTAATTAAAATAATCTAAGGTTTTGGACACTTTAGATGATGTAATCTGTAATCAGAGATAATTTTGCTTCTTTTCTAATTTGGATACCTTTTATTTCTTTATCTTGCTTTGGCTAGGACTTTCAATACCAGTAAGTAACAATAGTGAGAACAGGCATCTTCTTGTTTCTGATCTCAGGAAAACTTTGTTTTTCACTTTTGTGTACAGTGTAAGGTTTGTCATGTATGGCCTGAATTGTGCTGGGGTAGTTTTATTGTAGCCTCCTTTTTTCAGTGATTCTTGACATATTTTGTTTTGAAAACCAGAGTACAGAGCAGTATGTGTAGTATGACCACCTTCTGATAAAACACTAAAACAAAAGAATGTGTACATATCCCAAGGGAATGGAAGATGAGTGAAACCAAAAAAAAAAAAAATCTGGCAATATTGGTGCCCCTTTTTTCTCTTCTGGTGGGAGATTAAAGCTAGAGCAAGTATTTGGGAGCATTCTCTGTATGTATAGATTTGAATATTTTTGGTGCATATATTTATAACAGAATGCATATGAGTCTTTTAAATTTCCAAGTTATTATATATATGTATATGTATTCATAGGGTCTTTTTCAATTTCTTTTTTAGGTGTTACTGAATGCAAAATGACTAAGTCTAGTCCTCTGAAAATAACGTTGTTTTTAGAAGAGGAAAAGTCCTTAAAAGTAACATCAGACCCAAAGATTGAGCAGCAGACCGGTTGGTTTTTATTCTTTGTTGCTTGCTAATTCTAGACACATTATAAGAAGTAATATATTGATGGAGCCATGTGTTCCCATGAGTTGTGTTCTCTCTTTTAAAAATGTCTTGTAATTTCATAATATTCCAGGTTAGGAAATGCTATAGCTTCTGTTAGGATGTGAAGATGTGTGTTGTGCCATGGTTAGAGTTATTGTTAGATTACAGACTCCTGTGAACATCTGGTCGAGACCCTCACTCCCCCCCCCCCACAATTGTATCAGATCAGGTGGTAAAGGGGTTAGTGACCTAAAGACTTACTGTGAGCTTTTAATAATTTTCTATTGCTGTCTGCTGTGTGAAATAATAGAAAAGTAGTTTAAAAGAACACTTTGAAAGTGAACCTTTTGTGTGTGTGTGTGTGTTTTTGTGTGCGTGTACCAGTATTAGGGCTTGAACTCAGGGCCTGGGCACTGTCCCTTAGATTTTTTGCTCTGGGCTAGCACTCTACCACTTGAGCCACAGCTCCATTTCTGGCCTTTTGGTGGTTAATTGAAGAAAAAGGGCTCATGGTATTTCCTGTGTGGGCTGATTTTGAGTCATAGTCCTCAGATCTTAGCCTCCTGGGTAGCTAGAATTATATATGAGCCATTGATTCTAGGCTTTCATATTCTTAAGTTCAGGACATTCAATCAACTTTTCGTAGATTTAACCTTCATTTCTTAGAAAATGTCATTGGAACTTTAAGAATTGTCTTGGTTTCATGTATTAGTACTGTTTTCTTTTTTATTTAGGCTTTTTCCTGTGTTTATTTAGTAAGCATGTGAATATTAAGTCTTCTTTGCTGCCCCTTTAATTCTTAAAGGTCTAACCTTAGTATTCATACACCAAAATATCTTTCAGAAGTGGTACGTGAAATTGAAATGAGTGTGGACGATGATATCAATAGTTCGAAAGTCATCAATGACATCTTCAGTGATGTCCTAGAGGAAGGTGAGCTGGATGTGGGAAAGAGCCAGGAGGAAGAGGACCAAGTGGAAGGCGAGAACACTGACGAGCAGGAAGATGCTCTCAACATCTCCTCCATGTCCCTACTTGCTCCCTTAGCACAGACGGTGGGCGTAGTGAATCCTGAGGTGAGATGCCAGGAGGCCCTGGCATAGATGATTTGAGTAATATAGGAATAAGACCATTCCTTTTTGGTTGTTGCTGCTCTTTAAGAGAATATAAAAGGCTTCACTTGTACCTTGTGAGCTTTCTCCTTCTCTCCTCTCTTGCTCCTCTCTCTCTTTCCTCTCCCCCTCTCTCTGCTTCTGTCTGTCAGTCTCTGTCCCTCCCTCCCTCCGTCCCTCCCTCCCATCATGAGGCTAGAACTCAGGACTTAGACCTTGTCCCTGAGTGCTTTCACACGTTTTGAGCCACAGCTCCACTTCCATCTTGTGGGCTTTAGATAATATTGCTCAATGGGCTGTAATCCTGCTGTGGCATTTACTCATTGTTATTTCTCCCTTTGGTGTCATAGTCTCCTGATCTAAACTAGGTTAATCATTATGCCTGCATCAAACTAGTATTGAGCTGAGAGCCATTAGTAGCTGTAGATCAAAAGAAATTGAGTAAACTGCTCCTCTGGAGCTTGGTTCAATTAGGTCTACTATCTATATATCTATGTCTCCCTGTATCTATCTATGTGTCTATTTATTATTTTTGTGCTGCTGCTAGACTGGTGAGGGTGATTTCTCTGAGCTTTTTGTAGTCAAGGCTAGTGCTCTACCAACCTGAGCCACAGTTGCACTTCCTGTTTTTTGGTGGTTAATTGGAGATAAGAGTCTCAAGGACTTTCCTGTATGGGCTGGCTTTGAACTACAGCCCTCTGATATCAGTGTCCTGAGTAGGTGGGATTGTAAGTTCCTAGCTAGATTTATTTTTACAAAGAATATCCTGTGTTGCTTATTCATTTGCTTATTCCTGTGTGCTTTTTCATTTGCTTTTTCACAAATTTTCTCATTTTGCTTTGTTTTTATTACTTATTTATGACTTATTGAATTTATTTATTTTCTCAAGATTAAATAAACAAATTATTTGGAAACAGTTACTAGCCTATAACTGATAAGCATTAATAGATGCTGTACATAACTTCACCAATATTTGAATGCTGAGTATGTGGTTCTCTTCTGCACACTCAGCACATGGGAGGCTAAGGCAGGAGAGTGGCAAGGTTCAGGCCAGTCTAGGTACAGATTGGAGGAATCTATCTAAAAAACAAAATGGAAAAAATGGAATATCTAATAAAGTTGAAAAAAATATTATCTTTTTTCCTATAGAGTTTTGTCTCCTCACCTAAACTGGAATTGGAAGACCCTAGCCTCAGTGATGAAAGTCCCAAGCCGGGAAAATTCCAGAGAACCCGAGTCCCTCGAGCTGAGTCTGGTGATAGCATTAGTTCTGAGGACCGAGGCCTTCTTTACAGGTAAGGATATAGGGGAGGCATGCACTCACTCAGGGTCATAGTCTACATGGATAATTTTGTTCATAACTCATCTGTATCAAGTTTGTAATAACTTTTCAGCCTCTTTTCACCAAAGGGCATCTCCATGCTGGTGAAATGTTTAATATTATTGTCAGATTCTGCTGATACATTCAATAGGATTATTTTCAGTGTGTTTCTGGACTTCTAACTATGATTTTTTTTCCCCCCTGAAGCATTGATGCTTATAGGTCTCAGAGGTTCAAAGAAACAGAGCGCCCTTCAATAAAGCAAGTGATAGTTCGGAAAGAAGATGTTACATCAAGATTAGATGAAAAAAAGAATGACTTTTCTGGTCACATTAATATCAAACAGAAGATGCAGGTATGTGCTTCTGTGTGGAGGTTGTGAATTCTACTCTGTGATATTCATGGCCCTATTCCATTCCTCCCTGCACCCTGATGTCTAGAGTGGTGTCTGACACAGAAAACTTCACAAGCCATGCTGGAATTCAGTTTATTTCCAGAAAGGTACTCTTGGAAGCTTGTTATTGTTGAGTGATTGTTTAAACATGTCTGCTGTAAATATCTTTCAGCTATGACTATTAAAATTGGAAAATAGTGAAGTGTAAAATTTATTATGCCTCTCAAGGTTTTTTGTCTGAAAGACTGCCAAGTTTTAAAAAAAATATATTAAAAAAATATATTTTATATCTATATATATCTATATATATTTTATATATTTATTTGCCTGTCTTGGGGGCTTGAACTCAGGGCCCTGGGTACTGTCCCTGAGCTTTTTTTTTTTTTTCTTTTTTCTCAAGACGAGCACTCTACCACTTGAGCCACAGCACCACTGCCGGCTTTTTTTGTTCATGTAGTACTAAGGAACTGAACTCAGGGTTTCACGCATGCTAGGCAAGCACTCTACCACTAAGCCACATTCCCAGTCACCAAAATGACAAATTAGATAATTTTAAATTTATACTTTGTTAGACATAGCCTGGATTATAATTTTAATAAGCATCAGTTTGAAGTCTCTTCACAGAGAAGAATGTTTATAGTTTAGCCATGTTAAATGTTTTTGCTGTGTAATGTAGAAAGTTGAGCAGTGAAACTATTTTGCCTTTACTCTGAAAAATTTGGAAGTTAATCTGGTTAGATTAGTAAGAATAAAATGTGAGCTGTACTTACAAGTGTGGACTTTTTCTTCCTCTCTGGTTTCCCTAGGAGCTTAATAATGAAATAAATCTGCAGCAGACGGTGATCTACCAAGCAAGCCAGGCCCTCAACTGCTGTGTTGATGAAGAGCATGGGAAAGGGTCCCTGGAGGAAGCAGAAGCTGAGCGACTTCTTCTAATTGCAAGTAGGTGTCACACCAGAAACAGTTTCCCTGAGGCCAGCCAGGCATAACATGTCCTCGGATATAGTCAGAAGTCTTGAGTCTTAAAGATTCTGGAAATCTTTTCCTAATCATCTGTTTCAGTTGAACAGCTTATTCTTTGTACTTATATAAACTGAAATATTTCCATGTAAAATAAATTGTAGTTTACATGAAAAGTAAAAGCATCTTCATTTACACTCCTGTTTGTCTCTATCCCTTTAGATACATGTACAGTTAAAACAATTCGGATCAGTTTTGTTGTGATGTGTGGTTGTAGTGGGGCATGCTAGAAGGAAAGACACAGGATCTCATCTAGGAAAAGGGATTAACAGTTGGTGTTGTAGTTATGAGGACTTGGTAAATAGATGAGTAATTTGACCCAAATACCTAACACCAGTCAACTTTGGTCTTAAGTATAATTACTGTCTCAGTGCCCTTTCTTGAATAGGCAGACATGTAAGAAAAGTTGCAGTTTTAACATTTGGAATAATATTCACTTGCATATTTCTGCCTAGCTGAGAAGAGAACGCTTCTGATTGATGAGCTGAATAAACTGAAGACTGAAGGGCCTCAGAGGAAGAACAGGGCTGGTCCTGCATGCCAGAGTGAATCTGTTGCCTCAAAGGGATCCATCACTTTGTCAGAAATCCGCTTGCCTTTGAAGGCAGATTTTGTCTGTAGCCTGGCTCAGAAACTAGGTATGCTGATTTTGAGTTCCTTCTAGACCACAGACTTAACCTAGATTGGATATGGACAAGAGAAGTACATGTAATGCATATATAAAGACACAATGCTCTTCAGTACTTTTTATCATAGTTGGTGCATAAAAGTGAAGGTACGTTTAATAGACAAGATAGGCCATGCTGCAGGGGATATGGCACATTTTCTCCTAAGATGATATTCTGACAGAATGTGCCATTTGACTTAAGTTAGTCAAGAGTACTGTAGAAGCATATGATTTATTGTACTTCCTCTGTTTGAGTTAAAACTCAACATGCTAGGCCAGGCCCTCGTGGCTCATACCTGTCATCATAGCTACTCTCAGAATGTTGGTATCTGAGGATCATGGTTCAAAGCCAGCCGGGGCAAGAAAGTCTGTCAGACTCTTATCTCCAATAAACTACTCAGAAAAAGTCAGAAATGGCACTGAAGCTAAAGTGGTAGAGTGCTAGCTGTGAGCAAACATTTTTATGTAAGTCAATTGAAGTATGATTGTATTCCTTTGGTCTTCCAGAATGCTGGATAGCTGTTCTGATTTTGTTTGTGTAATTATGTAATGTAATTATTTCTTCTAGATGCAGCAAATTACTATTATTTAATTATACTGAAAGCAGGAGCTGAAAATATGGTAGCCACACCGTTAGCAAGTACTTCCAACTCTCTCAATGGCGATGCCCTGACATTCACAACTACATTTACGCTGTAAGTGAATCAGGAGTTGGCTTGTTTAGACATGTTTTCCATTTAATAGAGTTAACACAGTTAACTCTAAGCACATAGGTGACATTTAATACCTTTTATGGTGCTCTGATGGAACTCAGGGCCTCATGTGTTCTAGGCACGTGCTATAGCATTGAGCTGCGTCCCAGTCGTGACAATTCCTAGAATGCTTTATGTCATCTTGTATAATGCAGCCTACAAACTCTTGTATATGTTTCTGATGGTATTTTTTCCATGTGATTGTAGATATTTAGTATTTTTAAGTATTGTATAGATTAGATCTGCACTACTTTTTTTTTTGGTCCTGGGGCTTGAACTCAGTGCCTGGGTGCTATCTCTGAGCCTCTTGTGCTCAAGGCTAGTGCTCTACCACTTGTGCCACAGTGCCACTTCTGGGTTTTTTTTGAGTAGTTTATTGGACATAAGAGTCTCATGGACTTCCTTTCATGGGCAAATGTGATCCTTAGATCTTAGTCTCTTTATTTTTATTTATTTATTTATTTTGGGTCCGGTCGTGGGGCCTAAACTCTGGGCCTGGCGCTGTCCCTCAGCTCTTCAGCTCAAGGCTAGCGCTGTATCACTTGAGCCACAGTCCCACTTCCGGCTTTTGTTTAATTTTTTTTGGGGGGTGATCTCAGTCTCTTGAGTAGCTAAAATTATACATGAGCCCAGCTGCACCATAAATTTTATACCAGATTTAAATCTTATAATGTACTCTATATCTAGTCTTAATACAAAGATATTCATATTTAGTGTTAGATTTATTTTGAAATAACTAAGTCAAATCTATACTTGTATTAGATATCTTGAGGTACAAATTCTGAGGAAAATATTTCCGTAAGAAAAAGAATCTACTTGTCTTACCAACTTTTATTGTTTTTAGTTAAAACCACAATGGATTCTTTTATTCTCAGAGCCCCGAAATAGTTCTTTGGCATTATTTTTAGAGACATAACTTAGTTTTTCTTCAGTTACATTTAATGCTTTTTTTTTTTCCAGGCAAGATGTGTCCAATGATTTTGAAATAAATATTGAGGTTTACAGTTTGGTAAGCAGTTAAGGATTTCTAAAGTAACCAATTGTGTGTTTTTCTTAACATTACATAACACATTTTAAGCTAATAATATTTTGGGTTTATGAATAGGTACAAAAGAAAGATTCCTCCGGTCCTGATAAGAAGAAAAAAGCATCAAAGTCCAAGGTGAGAATGACAGGAGTCTAGTGAAAATATTACAGTCAGAAATATTGTTGATCATATTAATTTGATGGGTGTTTTGGAATGACAAGTCCCTACTCTTTGCTTATTGCCCTGTGTAGTGTGAGTACTACATGTGGGTTAATCAGATGGTGCAGGTCCTAAATGGTATGCTTAAATGGACATGTGGCAGCTAACGTTTAAAAAGCTGCTAAAGCCGGGCGCTGGTGGCTCATGCCTGTAATCCTAGCTACTCAGGAGGCTGAGATCTGAGGATCGCGGTTCAAAGCCAGCCCGGGCAGGAAAGACCGTGAGACTCCTATCTCCAATAAACCACCAGAAAACCGGAAGTGACGCTGTAGCTCAAATGGTAGAGCGCTCGCCTTGAGCTAAAGAGCTGAGGGACAGCGCCCAGGCCCGGAGTTCAAGCCCCACGACCGACAAAAAAAAAAACAAAAAACAAAATAAAAAGCTGCTAAACCCTCCCCTGATGCTCTTACTAAATTATCTACCACGATGTGGTTATGTGCTCACTTGTGCAGGGTAAGGGTAGAGCCAAAGCTTAGCCCCATCTTTCTGGTCCACTCTTGTTTTCCTCCTCTCATGAACATCTTTTCTCTATTCTGACTTTTTGTTGGAAAGAAAAAATGAGAAGAAAATTTTATTTATTTATTTATTTATTCCTTTTTTCTTATTGTGAAAATACTATACAGAGGGGTTACAATTACATGGGCAAGATAATGAGCACATTTCTTATCAAGCATTGTGGCCTCCTCCTTTGTTTCCCCTTCCCCATCCCCTTCTCTCCCCCCCCTCCCACCCAACCCTCCCCCCCCCCACCAAAGTTGTAAAGTTCGTTTTCGACATAATGACTTGTACATCTCATCGTTGCAATGGGTCCACCTGTGTCCCTATTTAAACGATTTGTTTTTTCCCTTCCCCTCCACAAATTATGCCAACATCAAATACAGTGAAAGTAGGGATTATACTGTGGGGGAGGGATGTACAAAACAACAAAGAAATAATCTTATGAATGTGTTAGAAACAATCGCATGAAAGAAAAAAAAATTTGAATACATATCTTAGGGTTCATTTCCCTAACATTAACTTAACTGACCTTTTCTGCTTGACTCAGTCATATTACTAACAAATAGCATCTGTTAAAAACTTTTAATAAGGTAGTAAGGGTTACGAAAGTAATAGAAGGTGTGAATTTGGTCACAGCACATTACATGCATGTATAGGAATACCACAATGAAACCCTTTGTACAATTAATATACATTAATTAACAGAGAAAAAGTATGTTGGGAAAGGCTTCATAAAGGACTTGAATATGATCTAGTCATATTTATTGTTTATATGAGAATATTTGTTGTTTTTAAGCTTTGAATCACAATATTTAATAGGAAACAAATTATACTATCTCTTCTTGTAGACTATTACTCCAAAGAGACTCCTTACATCTATAACCACAGTAAGTATATATATATATATATATATATTTTTTTTTTTTTTTTCGGTCATGGGGCTTGAACTCTGGGCTTGGGTGCTGCTGTCCCTCAGCTCTCCAGCTCACGGCAAGTGCTTTGCTGCTTGAGCCACAGCGCCACTTCCAGTTTTCTGGTGATTAATTGGAGATAAGAGTCTCAGGCACTTTCCTGCCTGGGCTGACTTTGAACTGTGATCCTCAGATCTCAGCCTCCTGAGTAGCTAGGATTACAGGCGTGAGCCACCTGTACCTGGAGTAAGTATAATTTTTAAGAAACTGAGTTCTCTTGAGTTTTCTTCATCTTGCACATAATAGTTAGACATTTATTATTGAGTTCTAAATACCCAGTGCAAAAAAGATCTTTAAAACATACTAGTAAGTTCTAGTGAGTTCTAACACTTGGGATATAGAGGATTGTGAATTGAAGGCTAGCTTGGGCTAAATAGCTGGACTCTGTCTTCAAACAAATAAGCAAAACGACATCAGTGGAGGAAATATTCTCAATATTTTTGTAGAGGAAACTTTGTGTGGAATGTGGTTCTTGTAGTAGTGTTACAGTCTTGTACATAGTATTTAAATCTTCATATCAAATCTTCATATGCTTTTATTTTCTTTTTAGAAAAGCAACCTTCATTCATCAGGTGAGTGAATCCTAAACTATATGAAACTTTGAGAAGAATCATGCACCATCTTATTTATGGGTGTTTACCTTGCTTTATGGTGTTTACTTTGGTTTGCTTTGGGATGATATTTTCTATTCAGGCTTTCTTAGTGTCATGAGAGATTACTGCTAGAATAGCATACAGCTTGCTCACATGCATTTCAGGCACCATATAGATGATCTTATCATTGAGTACATGAGTGATCCTAGTCCTTGTCCTGTACATTTGTTTTGTACCATCCACAATGCATTTACTTTTCACCATTCTGATCGGGATGGGCCCTGCATTGTGTCAGAAAAGCCAGGAGAAAGGGGAGGATGATGGGGCTGGTTTCACTTAACTCCTTTGGGCTGTGGGTCTCTTTCCCTCTGGCATAGGAGAGTGACTAAGAAGATCTGGGTAGTAGATAGCCTCTGGTTAATTCTGTCAGCCTGAATGTTAATAGTAATGAAGTGTTTCTATACCTCTTATGGGAAAAAATCTTTTGAATATCTCATGTTTAGGTTCTGTTTCTTTAAAGACTCACAAATGTTAAGGAGCACATGTACCTTATTGAAAACTTCTACATAGTTTTCTTTCATTAGGAAATGCTGGTGTTGTATTGCCCCACATTTAACAAGGAGGAAAATGAGGCAGTTTGATATCATTCTGTTGGGATAGAGTGAGGATAGTTATTAATTCGGAGAAAAGTCATGGGAACTAAAGCTAATGTCCTTTCCTTGCAGTCCTGGCCAGCCCAGGAGGCCTCCATGCTGTGCGAACCAGCAACTTTGCCCTGGTTGGGTCTCACACTCTGTCTCTGGCCTCAGTAGGACATACCAAGTTCGCATTGGACAAGGTAATCTACATTTGTTTATAAGTGTCTGGTGTCATTATTACATTTAATTTTAGAAAAACCAGGTAAGGGGCTAGGAAGGTGGTTCAGTGGTAGAGCACTTGCCTTGCATGCATGAGGCCCTGGGTTCAATTCACCAGCACCACATAAGCAAAAAGAAAAAAAGCCGGAAGTGGCGCTGTGGCTCAAGTGGTAGAGCGCTAGCCTTAAGCTGAAGAGCTGAGGGACAGCGCCCGGGCCCAGAGTTCAGACCCAACGACCAGGGCCCCCCCGTCCCCCCCCAAAAGAAAAACCAGGTAAATGAAAATTCCACAGTACTTGCATGTATTTTGAATCTTTGGTTGAAAATATGTTATATGAGTTTACTGAAACAATATAGTTTTAATATTGGAAATATTTCTCTTGTGTTTTAATTCTTTGTCACTTCTGAGTAAAGAAGTATTATTTCTTGCATTTAGATGTTAAATTTACAGTAACTTGCCTAGTTGAGCTGATAGTTTGGATTTCGCGTGGATTTAATTTCTGAGGTGGGGGAAAGATACATTTGTCTTTTAGAAAAGTCCTTTGGAAGCTAGGTGACTTCTTCCCCATATTTTCTCCTAAAATAAAGGCTTCAGAATTCAGACCTGTATTTTACTACTTTAAAAAAAATTTTTTTTAAATTTTATTACTTTTGCGTGGGTTTCTGCCATAATGTAACTAACTGAACTTACATCTAGCAAGACCATTTGAAGGAGTGACAAAGCCAGAGGCAGTGATATTTTAACAAATATTCACAAAGTATACTGATCAAATCAGGGGAATTAGTATTTCCTTCTCCTAATTTCTGTGTGTTGGAGCCTTGGAGCTCTTGTCTTCTAACTCTAGGTAAAGTCTACACAGTAGTAGGTGCTAAGGAACTCTTGTCTCCCTTCTGTGCTGTAGACCACTAGAGTTCAGTCCTTCTACCTCACTGTTGAGGTACTGGTACAAAGGCTCCCTCTATCTTTCTCCCTCCCCTTCTCTGCATTTAGATTGGCCTTTTAAATCTGCCTGAGAGATACATTATTATAAGAGATTTCTGCAGGGCCAATATAGATATGAAGCCCTATAGAGAATAGAAGGCCTGGTTTTAACATCTCTTATTTTCCCAGTAGGAAATAATGTGTTAACAAAAGCAATCTAACTTTAAAATTCTATGAAATGTTTTCTTTTAATTAACAAAAAAGCTGACTGTATTTGGAATTTTGACTACTCAGTAGTGTATTAATGTATTTTAACATGTTAATTTCTAAAATTCTAGGTAACTTTTTTTTCTTTTAGTAGTTCAGTTAGTTTTACAAGTTGAGTGATCCTGAGTCTTTTTTTGTTTGTTTTAGATAAATTATGATGTAAAAGAGCGAGAGCTACTGAGCTATTTGTTCCAGGAAAAGGTTGCTGTTATTTTCTTTGCTTGAAACTAAAATGTTTAAGAAACTAGTTCTTAATTTTTTTGTTCATGTGTGTTTGTTTCACTAACTACTCTTATGTATCTTTTGTTATCTGGGATAATTAAGGACATTATTCTTACTTGGATCTTACATATGACCATCTTTTTTCTCCACTCAGAATGCTTTATGGCTCCCTTTCATACTCCTTCATTTCCCATGCATGCTTGAGATTGGGGTTTTCTCTGTGTTCTTTCTTCCATTTTATAATTCTTTAACATTCTGTATTCACTTCAGTATTGATTTTTCTTTCTGAGTACCCATTAGAATACCAAATTAGTAACACTGTTTAAAACTAATATTGTTCAATATTTCTGACTTCCCACGTACTGCAAGAGGTACTGGTGATACCTTAAATACTAGTAGAAAACCTGTATGGTCCAGATTGGCTAATTTATCCATAGTTATATTGATGAGACTTTGTATTAATGCTAAATTTATGCTGAACATAAACATTTTAAATATGCTTATAAAGATCAATTACAAGCATTCTGCGAGATTCTAGGAATACTAATTAACAAAATGCTGGGCAGTGTTTTTATTTTAAATTCTTTAGAGAATATTTGAGATTTATAAATTACATAAATACAAGAACTGGAGTTCTTGTTTTTCTTACTATGTATTGTCATGTAGCTAAGTTATACATATGTAAGAGATTTCATTAATCTTAAAGTTGAGATTGCAGTGACAAATTTTAAATATGACTGTTCTTTTGGAAGTTTTTGGCACAATTTAATTCAAAATGTCATCCTAAAAATAAACATTAATTATACTTCCATTTTAAAATAACTCCTTCAAAATTACAACTTAAATTGCCAGCTACGTGACTGAATGCAAAATCAAATCAGCAAACTTAATTGGTTATCTTTTACTCTTAAGCGTTAAGTCAAATAGTGGACAATTGCAATATAATTTTATGAGCAATGGGAAAGCAGAAATGTATTTAAGTAACTTGTGGTTGTTGTGTTTGTGTACTGAAGATGACATTTTCTTTTTAGTTACTGTGGAAATGTGAGACCTATGCTAGAAGGTTCTGGTTTAATTGACCTTGAGAGATGGGGCAGTTCTTCCTTGTCTACAGATACTGCTGAGTATGAGGGGAGGGTTTGTTTATTGTACTGGGGCTTTGCCAGGAATTCCTGAGCCAGAGAGTTACAGGGCTATCTCTAAGATTCTCCACAATGGAATTTCTGTGGGACTTGATGCCATCTGCTTGCTCTCTAGATTGATAGCACCAACAATAGATTGCTATCTTACTAGAGCTTTTAGATGCTGAAGTTAAGTGTGGCATTCTAGAGTATAAATACTGAATTTCATACCCTCTGTTTCAGTAGGGAATCCAACATAGTCATCTTTCTGTACTTTGATGGAAAATGAGAAAAGGAGGTCCCAAAGTTCATCTTCTGACTTAAAAAACCTCTTACAGAGGAAACTTTCCTTTTAGAAAACAGAGACCTAAGTAAACAACTATTGAGAACTATAGAATTTGGGGGTTAGAGGTACACTGCTTTAGACTCATCTGCCTAAAGTTTATGCCTGCTAGGCTGTGTAATTGTTAATAGTGCCCTTTCATTTAAAACCATGCCAGCATATAGTTTATTGCACCATCACCCTGGTCATAGGTCTCACCTTACAGCTTTAACAATACGGTGGACTCTTGGTACCAACAGGTTTACAGTTGTGAAGTCACAGAGTATGAAATTCCTTTTGCCCTATTTGTTCTTTGTTCTGGAACTCCAGCGAAGCATACATTAGACTGAGTCATTTTCCTACAATTCCATGCACATTTATGTCTTCATTTCAGATCATTTCTAGTGACTTGTTTTGAAGTCCACCTACCCTTCTCCTGATGCATCTAGTGAATTTTTCAATCCAGATTTTTTAGTTCTTAAATTTCCATTTGTATCTCTTTCACAACTACTGTGTCTCTGCTGAAATTCTCTATCTTTTCACTTTTGCTTATTTTTCCCCCCTAAATGTTCTTAATATAAGTGTCCTCATGGTCTAATTCCAGATCTGTGGATCTGCTATTGACATTTCTCTTGATAAACACCACATTTTTTTTTTACTTGTCCAAGACCAGGACTGGAACTTGGTATCTGACACGTAACTTATTGGCTGCTGCTCTACGACCTGAACCATGCCTCCAACCCCTTGGGTTGGATCTTTTTTTTTCACATTTCCTTGCTTTTTCACATCTTGTAATTTCCCCCCTCATTACTATAGACCAGAATTATGTTGTGGAAGAGCAGTAGGGACTGAAGTAGACAATAACTTGTTCTTTTGTCTCTTAGCAGTTTGGAGTAGGGGGTTGATCACTTTGATGTACTCTTAAGTTGAGCTTTGATTGGGCTATTCAGCAGATGTCTGGAGAATGAGGTTAGGTCCTATCCTTGAACACTACTTTGATCTCTTAAGACTGTGAGTCTGTAAGAGCTCTCTCTGCTTGAGCCATTAAAGGGTCAGCTCCTTTCTCCTTTTGCTTGCAGAAGTTACTAGCTGTAATAAGCTTATACATCTGCCAGGCTTTATCCTTATTCCTTGCTTGCATCACCTAGAAAGTGCTTATTTCTTATGGGAGTTTGATCCCTCCACTCTATTTGCATAGGTCTTTGATGTCTTTCAGAAAGGTAAGTCTGGCTTTTGAAGTTTCTCTGGTAGTTTTGTGTTGTTCTAGTAGAATCTTTTGTGAATATTCCTATCTTTACTGGAAGTGGAGTTCTGAGCACCAGTGGGAGTGACTTTCTTTTTTTTGGGGGGGGGAGGATCTGGTTGTAGGGCCTGAACTCTGGGCCTGGGCGCTATCCCTCAGCTCTTAAGCTCAAGGCTAGCACTCTACCACTTGAGCCACAGCGCCACTTCTGGCTTTTTTCTTTTTGCTTATGTGGTGCTGAGGAATCGAACCCAGGGCCTCAAGCATGCAAGGCAAGCTCTCTACCACTGAGCCACCTTCCCAGCCCCGGGAATGAACTTTCTATAGCTACTTCTAGGGATGTGCAGTGGGATGAACTCAGTGGACAGAATTAAGAATAGTTTTAAGTATGCATCTTTGGCTCTGCCTGGTAGATCAGCCAGCATGGACAGTAAAGTGTCATTGCATCATGACAGCACTGGGATGACTTGAGGCCGACCCAGACCTTATTCATGCTAACTTGGACAGTTCTTCTGCAGAGAGACCCAACATTAGCTTTCCCATGAGCTGCGGAGTAGCATACTTCCACCCTGTCTGCACTGCAGATTTGAATTGTATGTGGAGTACATTGCTTTGGAAATCTCCTAGAAGTAAAATGGTGCAAACATCAAGAGAAAGCTACACCATGGCATATATTAGCACTATGTTGTGATACTAAAAGGCAAAATAGCTCTTAGAGTGAAGTGAGTGTATATTTGTGTGTGTGTGTGTGTGTGTGTGTGTGTGTGTGTGTGTGTGAAGTCTAGGTTAGACACAATGAGTTGATATCCTAATAAACCCATCATAAGGTGAAAATGTATTTTATCCACGAAAACTACTGGATATTGCAATTTAGCCTGCATTACCTTAAGCATGTTCAGAACACTTAATCTAAGAGAAAAATCATCTAGCATAATGTCTATTTTGTAATAAAACACTGGCCTATGTCGTGTATTCAATTCCTGTATCCAAATCTCTCCCCTCAAAAGGAAAAACAAAAAACAACAAACTGTTGACATAGGCAACTGTAGAGTGACAGTAATTTACCTTCCTGATTGGTTGACTGGAGATGGTGTAGGTGCCCAGCATCCCTGAAAAAATTTCAGAATGTCGAATTCTAAGTGTGGTTTGGTTTCTATGAGTGCACATTCGCTTTTGTACCATTGTAAGAATTTTTTTTTCTTTTTCTTTTCTGTTTTTTCTTCTTCTTCTTTTTTTTTTTTTGGTCAGTCCTGGGGCTTGAACTCAGGGCCTGAGCGCTGTTCTTGAGCTGCATTTGCTCAAGGCTAGCACTCTACCACTTGAGCCACAGTGCCACTTCTGGCTTTTTCTGTTTATGTGGTACTGAGGGGTCAAACCTAGGGCTTCATGCATGCTAGGCAACACTCTACCACTAAGCCACATTCTCAGCCCTGTAAGAATGTTTTCTTACATGTTTAATTTTTTCCATCAATAAAGCTTTGTTATTGTTATAACAAATTGATATACAGTTAATCTATAGCATCAGAAAGCATATGAGATGGAGGGGAGGGCACAGTCACAGAACACACTATTGCATGGCTGTTCTATGTGAGCTCAATGAAGTTGTGACGTCATTGTATTCAGTTTGCTACGGAGACCTTAAATGTAAAATTCAGTGACTACAGCTGTATCCCAGCATGACACAGATACTCATGGCTGCCTTCAGTCATCCTCAGGCCCACACCAACTTTGGCTTCATTTCTGTCACCACCTTGATTTTGCTCGTCCTCAAGGACAGGTTCACATATGTGTATTCTTTAGTGTGACTGAAGATATTTCTGAGATAGTTTTTCATGTTGTCTGTATTAGTAGTGCATTTTTGTTGTTGTTGATATATTGAGGTAAAGTTTGTATTACAGAAGTAGCAATTTTGAAATGATCAGTGTCTGTTCATAAAGACAGTGTTGTGCAAGCAGCCATCCCCTCTGTTAGTTCTGAGACATTGCCTTGCCCATTTCACCTGCCTAGCCCAAACAACCACCAAATAGACACTCTGTTTTTATGGATGAATGTATCCTGAGTATTTCATATAAAAACACAGTAATAGAACATGTGACCCTGATGTCCATCTTCTTTGTGTGTTTTAGGAGTACATTCATGATATAGCATGCATGAGTGTTTAATCCTTTTTATGTCTGAGTAATTGTCTATTGTATGTTTATACCACATTTTGTTTCTTCATCTGTTGTTGGTATTTGAGTTGTTCCTGCCCCTTGGCTGTTGTGATGTGTGTACATCTGATTCATTAGCTGTATTAGTTCTTTTGGGCCTATATCCAGGTATGTGATTGGGAGTCAAATAGTAACTCAGTTTAATTTTTTAAAGGTCTCCCAAACTGTTTTCCTCAGTGCCTATGACATTTGATGTTGCCTCCAGTAACATGGCTCTTTTTTCTCCATGCCACCAGTGCAAGTTCTTTATCTCCCTTTTAAAAGTTGTGACAATCCTGGTCAGTGCAAAATGTCATCATTGTGGGTTTGATTTGCATTTCCCTAAGGACTATTGACACTGAGTATCTTTCCATGTGTTGTTGGAAAATATAAACAAAATGTCTTTTAAGGACTTCTTCCAAACAGGTTGAGTTGTTTATTTGAGTTATCTTGTTTTTGTTTTTGGGGTATTGTTTTTATGTTCTCTTGTTGCTGAGTTCTTTGGATGCTGTCAACAAAGCACTACTTAGCTCTGTGAGTCACAGTGAAGATGGGAAGGTAAACAGCACTTGTTGTTGACAAGTACTAAGAAGTGGGATTTATATGGTTACATGGTAGTTTGTTTTTAATTTTTGTAGAGTGTCCATATTGATAGGTGTTCAGTTTTGGTTTTTTGAAAGAGTCTCACTAAGTAGCTGAGGCTGCCCTTGAACTCACTATCCTCCACTTAAGTGAGAATTGCAGAAGTGTACCATTACAAGTCAAAAAGGTTTTTAGTCTTGATGAGGTCTAGTTTATTTTTTTCTTGTGTTGCTTGTACTTTTTGTCACATAACAAAATTAATTGCCAAATCCATCATAATGTTTTATTTCTGTCTTTTCTTGAATTTCTGTAATTTTTAGCTTATAATTAAGTCACTATCCCTTGTGAGTTAACTTTTTTATATGGTTTGAAGTAGAAGTCAAACCTCACTCTTTACATGTGAGTGTCCAGTTTTCTCAACACTGTTGAAGATCACTCTTTCTTTAAATGATCTTGGCACCCTTGTCAAAAATCAATGGATCGTTAGGTGGATTTATTTTAGGAGCCTGAACTCAGTTTTGTTTATTGCCTATCCTGTGCTGGACCAGAACCATGCTATCTTGACTACCAGTGCTTTGAATTAATATTTGAAATTATGATTCCTTTAGTTCTCTTGTTGTTCTTTTTCTTAAAGATTATTTTGGTTGCTGTGGTTTTTTGCGATTTTATGTGAATTCAAGGATTGATTTTCCTGTTTTTGAGGTTGTTGTTCCTTATTTCTGGGTAGAGTTATATTGTATGAATATGTATTTTATGAATGATACTATATTGTATAAATTATATTACAGTGGATTTATCCAGACTTGTATTCAATTGAGTGCATTCTGGTGATGGTGAATGAATAGGCACATGTATTTGATTCTTAAATCTGTGTTGTCTTTCTCATATTAATTTGGAGCTTAGGACTTTTGGTTTTGTCAAGTGATACCTTTAAATGCAGTTACTCTTCAAAGGCATTTGTTGCTAAGGAAGCAGTGGCTTTTGGGCCCTATCTTTTACATTCCAGCTTTAGAAAATGATGTGTTTCAAGGAGTAATATTTCTCTGTTCATGATTTATACATGTTTTATCAAGAAAAATAATACTTTGAAACTCTTGTGCAAATAATTGACTTGCTTTCTTCACAGGTGCCCTTTTTATCTTCTTTGGAGGGTCATATTTATTTAAAAATAAACTGCCAAGTGAATTCAAGTGTTGAAGAAAAAGGATTTCTCGTAAGTAACATCCCATAATCCTACCTGTCTTCCTTCTGTCCTGTGAACTCTAGGTTTGGGGCTCTGTAGGAATGAAGGTCTATGTGATCCCACGATGAACCAGCTCTGTGATGATTTGCTTCATGCTACTCACTATGCAAATGCAGGAATGAAAGATAACTCTTCACTCAGGGTTGGGTTAAACAAAGTGAGCAGGGACACACATTACAGTAGGAGAAGGCAAAGGAGAGTAGAGATGGGAACTGTGGGTGGTCAAGAATAATGAAGCTACTAGAGGAAGCAACTTCTGAACTGTTGAGTAAGTTAGCCAGGAGGAAAGAGGGTCATTCTCCTTCATATGCAATGGCCCAGGGTCCTCCTTCACACCCTCCTCCCTCCCCAAACGAAAGATGAGGAGGCACACTTGTAGCAGGTGTTTGGGATAGTGAAAGCTTAGCATTTGGTGGTGGTGGCTGGGGGGAGGAGGGTTTAGTTACAGAAGATGGACCTTTTAAAGAATTTGGACACTGTTCTGAAGCTTATGAGTTCTTATTATAGAGTTTGAAGCAGAGGAAAGCATCACAATTGGGATTTTCTTTTTACTTTTAAGTCATTTATTCAAAATTAATATTCTTATGATCCTCTCAGGATTTAATCTTTTTTTTCCATGGGAATTCTTTGCTTTTAAAATCTATTTATTTGTAAAGATTTTATTACATACTTGTTCAAAGAGGTTACATTTCCGTAAGTCAGATTATTAATACAATGTATCTTGATCCATGTCACCCCTTCCATCTTGATAATTCTTCTTGTCCTAAGTAATAGTTTAAAATTATTTTTTGACATTAATATCTGCATAAAGAGATCTATAGAGTGCAGATGTTTTCGTCCACATTTAGGAATACGGGAGAAACCTGAGCATCTTTACACACAAATGTGTGGGTTTAATAAGCTAAAAGGTTGAAGATGGGGCATAGATCTAGAGTAACTTCTTGAGGAGTGTCATGAGAGGAAGAAATGAGCCTAGGCCACAGGTTACAAGAATTGCCCTTTTCCCATTATCAGAGAAGGACTGGGGAGGGATGATGCATAGAAGAGTGTGGGCATGGTGAAGCTCTATGACATAAAATTTGGTGGACAGAGGGATGGTACCAATCAGGTTGCTGTTGCTATCAGTGCAGGAAGAGACCTGGACTTCAGCTGGGTAAAGTGGTTTCTGATGGACACTAGGAATTCATTGTAATGCGTTGTCTTTTCTTTTTAGCTTTCCACTGCAATCCAGCAGGTGGCACTAGGTAGTCTTGCAAAAAGTGTGGTTGATTTCAGTTTGTTTTAAATAGAATTAAGATCTAAACTCCATATTTAATGTCTTACCTTTTAATATAAATATTTTCCTATTTCATTGTACACACGTTTAGCAACAGATAGCTGGTTCACTTGCATATAGTTTTTGAACTGTACTCCTATGCACTCCCTCTTGCCGCCTAGTTATTTATCTATTTATTTTTTCTGTATATATTTTTTAATTGTGAAAATACCATACAGAGGGGTTACAATTACTTGAGTAAGGTAATGAGTACATTTCTTATCAAGCATTGTTGCCTCCTCCTTTGTTACCCCTTCCCATCCCTTCCCAGCTCCCTCCCCCTTCCTATTTCCCTGCCCCCTCCCCCATGCCAAATCATTTTTGTACATCTCATTGTTGCAATAGGTCCACCTGTATCCCTATTTAAACAATTTGTTTTTCCCTTCCCCTCCACAAATTATACCCACATCAAATATAGTGAAAACGGGTTATACTGTAGGGGAGGGGCATACAAAGCAACAAAGAAATCATCTTATAAATATGTTAGAAACAATAGCAAGAAAGAAAAAACATTTGAGTCCTTATCTTGGGGTTCATTTCGCCTAACATCAACTTATCTGACTGTTTCTGCTTGTCTCAGACATATACTAGTTATTGCAAATAAGGGAAACCGTGGGACCTATGTTTCTTTGCACCTGGCTTACTTCACTTAATATAATTTTGTTGTATTCCCACTCAGCAATAAAGTACTTAAGAGCCCTGGACTGCTATGCACTACCCTTAAAGAGCAGGTGCTTTAGTATTCCAGTCCCCAGTACAAAACAGAGGTCCTGATCGAAAGAAAGCTGCTTGGTTCACTTCTCTTCCTGCTGGGCCAGGGCCAGAGGGAGGAGGAATCCAGTAACCTGACAGGCTGGTGCCCATCAGGTTGTCAAGGGGTCCAGCTCAGCCTCCACAGTGAGCAGCAGCAGAAGAGCATTGTGACCAGGCAGCTGGAAAGTTCCAGTTCTGCCTGGTGTTATGTGTTGTCACTTTACTTCTAACTGGTGTTATTCTGATCCATCAAAATTTCCATAGCCGTCTATTTCCTTTATAACAGGTAAACATAGACACAGGAGGGAGCCAGTGAGTCATCTATTAACTTTTGTGCTTGAGATGAAAATAACAAGATTTCTTCCTTGACTGGGTTGCCCAGGCATGGCTTGGGGAAAGAAAGGAGGAGAAAAGGGTATTTTCAAATGTGCTGAGAATGGCACCTCTCACAACACACGCCAGCCACATCAGGTTAGGTTGTATTATTAATCAGCTACTGCAGAGAGGAAAGCAGTAGTGGGTTGCTGATGCCAGGGGACTCAGGCCAATGACTGTCATTGCAGACGTCTGCAGGCACCCGCAGAATGGTTGTGTCCCACCAGAAAAACTGTATTTGTGACAGAGAACATGAGGACCACAAAGCCTAGAATAGACTCCACTCGGGCCCTTGCTAGCCTCTGTCACATCATCGTCACCTGCTTACCTTGCTTTGTTCTTTACATAAAACTTCCTAAAGTAGTTTTTAAAATCATCAGTGAGAATTGGAATAGAAGTTAGGGCTCTGATGAACTGCAGCTGAAAGCAGTGAGGCCCCCTCAGCTCTGCCTCTGCTGTGCAAGTGGAAGTTAGTCCTTGGACAAAGCCGATGTGTCCTCAGTGACTCTCTAGAGCTCCGAGCCCACATGACTACTACCCTTACTAGAAGATCACTTGCTTTCCTTAGGCCCAGCTGCACAGATCTGACTTCAGAGGATGCTTACTCCATGTGTGGGGAGTAATGGGGAGGTAAAAGGCTCAAGTATGGCTTTACCGTGGTGTCCATCCAGGTGCCTCGTCATCCCTGATTCCTTCTGGTCCCCTTAGACAACTCAGTACAATGTTGTTTTGATTTTCATTTCTTTTATGGCTAGGGAAGTTGAGCATTTCTTCATATGTCTATTGGACATCCTTATTTCCTCTTCAGAGGAGTTTCTATGTAAGTCTTTAGCCCACTTATTAATTGGGCAGTTGTTTCTTTGAGGATTTGTTATTGGGGATTTAATTTTTTGAGTTCTAGGTATATTTTAGATATGAGACCCTTGTCCGTTGTATGGCTAGTGAAGATCTTCTCCCAATTTGTGGGCTTTCTATTGATCTTGCTAGCTATGTCCTTTGCCATGCAGAAGCTCTGCAATTTCATGCAATCCCATTTGTCCAACCTCCCTTTGATTTGTTGTGTTTTGGGTCTCTATTCAAGGAGCCCTAGAGTTTCTTCTATTCCTTCTTGTAATGTTTTCAGGGTGTCTGCTTTTATTTGAGGTCTTTGATCCATTTGGAGTTGATTCTGGTGCAAGGTGATATATAAGGATCTGTCTTTAGTTTTCTACAGGTGTTTAACCAATTTTGTCAGCACTATTTACTGAAGAGGCTGTCTTTCTTTCATTCTATTGTTTTAGTTCCCTTATCGAAGACGTAAGTGGCTATTGGTCTGTGGGTTCATTTCTGGTCTTCAGTTCTATTCCATTGAGATTCTACCTCACCCCAGTTAGAATGGCTATAATCAAGAAATCTAGTAACAACAGATGCTGGAGGGGATGTGGCCAAAAAGGAACCCTACTGCATTGTTGGTGGGAGTGTAAACTTGTTCAACCACTTTGGAAAGCAGTATGGAGATTACTCAAAGACTATACATAGAGCTCTCCTATGACCCAGCAATCCCACTTTGGGGCATTTACCCAAACAATCACAAACAGGGCCCTACTAAAGCTACCAGCACAACTATGTTTATTGCAGTATTATTCACCATACCTAAGATATGAAACCAACCCAGATGGCCCTCAGTAGATGAGTGGATCAAGAAAATGTGGTATATTTATACAGTGGAATTCTATGCCTCCATCAGAAAGAGTGGCACTGCCCCATTTGTTAGGAAATGGAAAGACTTGGAAAAAAATATATTAAGTGAAATAAGCCAGGCCCAAAGAAACATGAGTCCATGGTTTCCCTTATTTGCAATAACTAGTATGCATCTTGGATAATCTTACCAGACAAACAGAAAAGGTCAAAACCTATGTATATATGACCATATAAGATGATGCTAAGTGAAATGAACCCCAAGGTAGGGACACAAGAAGTTTTATCTTTGTTGCTGTTGTTTTTAATGTAGTATGTGATTTTTTTTTGTTTCTTTTGTATGTTCTTCCCTCATAGTATAACCCCTGTTTTCTCTGTATTTGATTCTGGTGCCCTGCATCTTGTATGTTCATTTTTCTAATTTGGGGAGGGGAAGGGAAATGACAAAATGCTGAAACAAGGATACAGGTTGACCCATTGTAACAATGAGCTGTACAAGACACTATGTTGAAAATGAACTTTACAACTTGGTGGGGAGAGGAGTTGAGGAGATGGGGTGGGAGGGGTAGGAGAGGAAAAACAAAGGAGGGAGTAACAATGCTTGATAGGAAATGTACTCAGTACCTTATGAATGTATCTGTAACCCTTCTGTACAGTATCTTTACAATAAAATATATATTAAAACAAAAAACCCAGTGCAGTCTTTTCTAGGAAGACCAATCTGCTCAGAATCATTTTACTTTATTTTCCTCTCTGGTGCATGATTAAGGATCATTTGATTATGGATCAGGCTTGGAAAAGTTTAGGTCCAAATATATTAGGGGTTATGTGGATGTCATTAAATGCTTGTAGATGACATTGAAATGCATTTCTGATGTGCCCAGCTAGAAGTATTCATTACCAAGGTAAAAGGCACCATTAAAATCCTTGATTTCAACATGAAAGAGGACACAGCTGAAATTTAACATGCTGAATCAGCACCATGGGTTCTAAAGCCTGCCTTTCAATTGACTTTTCCAGACCATATTTGAAGATGTTAGTGGTTTTGGTGCCTGGCACCGGCGGTGGTGTGTTCTTTCTGGAAACTGTATCTCGTACTGGACGTACCCGGATGATGAGAGGAGGAAGGTAATCTAAATAGTCAGTGGTGCACGTTGACTTCCATGGGGTGTTTTTGCACATGGCACCCTGCCTGCATGAGATCTGTGGGAGTGCTTATGTACATGTATGTGCTTCGGTAGATGTTCTATATCCTGTATCTATTACTCTTAACACACTCCCAGGTATATGTTTTTCTTCTTTCCTCTTGAAATAGTCATAATGTTTTTGCTGACATGTGTTTATAGACAGCAGCTAATATTTTTAGTTGGAAATGTATGAAATTCAATTTGGTATTATTAAAAGATAGTATCTGTGCCATAAAACGGCACTCCTGTCTAACTTGAATTCTCCCTTGTCTCCCTTGTTCCTGTTTGCTGCTCTCCCTGGCCTCTGCTGATCACTGTGCCATCAACTCCATGTGTGTAGGTTCGACATATAGAAGTGATATGTGGTATCTGTCTCAGATTCCACATTTAGCAATGACATCATGCGTTATTTGTCTTGGGCTGAGTAGATTTACTGTGTCCTCACCAATAATCATTATATTTTGTTCTTAAGATAATACCCAGTCTACCAGGTGTGAGGCAATGCCTCTCGTGGTTTTGAGTTGCATTTCTTGAGGACTGGAGTTGGTTATTTGTGTCTTCTTTTGAGAAGTATCTGTTTCATATCCCACTTTATTTATTTATTTATTTTTGGGCATAGTTGGGGCTTGAAATCAGGGACTGAATGCTGTTCCTGAATTTTTGAGCTTTTGTGACCCAAGTTAGTGTTCTACGACCTGAACTACAACTACACATCCTACATTTTGGTGAGAGAGTCTTATGGACTTTACTGTCATAGCTGGCTTTGAACTATGATCCTCAGATCTTAGCTTTTTGAGTAGCTAGGATTATAGGCGTAAGCTACTAGCACCCCAGCTACCTTGACCATTTTATAATAGTTATTTGGTTTCTGATTGTTAGGCTTTAACTTTTAAATAATGGCATTTTAAACTAATTTGTTCCAATTTAGACATCACTTATTGCTTACTGACTTAAATAGCCTTGTTTCTTTTCTACTAATATTTTGGAATTTATTTCTAAAGAATCCCATAGGAAGGATAAACCTGGCCAATTGTACCAGTCGTCAGATAGAACCAGCCAACAGAGAGTTTTGTGCGAGACGCAACACTTTTGAATTGATCACTGTCCGACCACAACAAGAAGATGACCGTGAGACTCTTGTCAGCCAGTGCCGGGACACGCTCTGTGTCACCAAGTATGTAGTGACCCATTATTATAATTGCCCACTTTCTTCTTATCATGGCAGACTGTTTCTGGGTGAGAAATCTGAGTTCTTGTTTCGTTCTTCTAGGAACTGGCTATCAGCAGATACTAAAGAAGAGCGGGATCTCTGGATGCAAAAACTCAATCAGGTTCTTACCGATATTCGCCTCTGGCAACCCGATGCTTGCTACAAACCTATTGGAAAGCCTTAGATGTAGACATCTCCATTACAAGGATAGGCTTTGAACAATGCCCTCAGAAAGCTCTTAAGAGCATCAGGTTTGCTTATTGGATTTTATGCTTTAACGGAAAGGGTTTGTGCAAATATTCACTACCTATTATACAGTATTTATGTCTTTTGTATGTAAAACTACAACTTCTTTCTCTTGTCATTCATAGGTGATTGGAAGTCATTTCATTATAGTTGATTTTTGTAAAGTCCTAGTTTCCTCAAAGAATTCTAATTAGTTATTTACATCAACATATTTTTGTAAAAAGTAAGGCATTACGAGCTGTCTTCTAGGAGCTGTGGGTCTTGAAATAGCGGGGTGGCAGACAGAGACCTCTAGCTGCTGTAGTTTTCCCAAGAGGTGATCATGCATTGGTTACCTTAGATTTCTTACTAGAGTTCTAAGGAAGACTTCTATGGGACTTTACAGAAACATTTTTTGATAATGGAGATGGAACTTCTTCACAGTGAGTTTGTTAGTGTATCCTGAAGCTGCCTTTAAGGATGTAGACATAGGGGATGTGCAAGTTGGTAATAATTACCCCATTTACGTTTACAGTTACTGTTCTACAGTATGTGCACATTTTTTTTAATATAACTTCAGCCTTTATCAAAACACTTATTTTTGCCATGCAGCTGATAGACTCTCCAACATTAATTAGCATAGTAATTCCTAATGCTTCTGCTGCACAGACAATATAAATTGCAGAACCTTTTTATAAAAAGAAGTCAACTTTTTGTAAGCTGCTATGGACTTACACTTTGTTTGCCAAAGTTCTTGTCTACTCTTTTTTTCTTTTCTTCCACATCATATATATGATAGAGTCTAGAAGCCTATTTTTAAATCATTAAAATAAAACTATTATATTACCTTTTAAAGCCTAATATCTTTTTTAATTTAAAAATATTATAAAGAATATATGAGTACACTTGGGATTTCTTCCCTGTATCATTAAAAGTTATTAATGGCTTCATCTATAAACACTAAATTCTGTCATCTGTCATTTCTTGCTCATTCAAGTGTGTCTTTTCTTATGTATATTATACAAATGTGTTTTATGACCTCTTACCTAAATAAATAATTGTAAATCGTTGAAGGAATTGGTTATTTAAGAAATGGTGTTTGTGGTTGACTGCTCTACATGTGCATGCTGAGACTGGCGGCTGCTTTTATGTACTTTTTTTTACTTATTTTTTTGTGGTACTGGGATTTGAACTGAAGGCCTCATACTTGCTAGTCAGTCATGCCACTCCTCCGCCTGTACTTTGGGAGGGGGTAGTTGGTGTAAGTACTTAGCAGATATTGGTGGTGATGACATCAGCCAGGTTGGATGGGGCTGACTGGGAGTTCCCTAGTATTTATTAAAAATGTTTTTGTGCATTTTCCTGTATTTCCTAACATGCAAATCACATAGACTATGTGTATACTTAAAAACATTTTTATGATTATGTTCAGATATGCTCTATTCATGCTGTTTAAAGCAAACAAAACAATATGAGTACCCTAAGAGGTAACTGTATTTTGGTACATATAAAATGTTCAGTTCATGTTAGGAGACATTTAGGTTGAGGTGATTATGAAACATGGAGTTAGAAGCCCCTCAAACAACACTCCCCTGATGATTTAGCATCATCTCTGTGCAAGTGGAGAAGATGATCTGGATGTGTGAGATGAATGAAGAATTGAGAAAAGAAGCTCTGCTCTTTAGGGAAAAATTGTGACCACAGTCACAAAGCAGTTTAATGAAAATATGAACTCAAATGCAACCATTAATTCAATAAAATGACTCATGTAAAAATCAGGTAAAGCCAAAAAGGAAAAAGCATAGATTTGATTGTATAAAAGAAGCCCTGCCTTACAAATATTTATAAATACAAAACACAGGCAATGGGAGAGGAGAAAATATTCACAGCATACTTCATAATGAAAGAATCAATGTACACAATATAGGAGAGCTCCTAAGTCTGGTCCGCATGACTCGAGTGTCTGGTGAGTACCAAGCCTTATCCCTGGTGTGGAACTTCATCTTTATCCCAATGAAATCTTTGGTAGCTTCACTAGGGCTGAATTTAGCCCCAGGTCTACTCAGGCCAATTGTACCAGTCGTCAGATAGAACCATTATATTGTGATACTTCTCCTGTTAGCAAGACAAAGAAAAATTAACTTAAAAGAAAGGGGCAGTAGGGGAGTAGGAAATACATATCTACAAATACAAAGAGCCACAAATACATAAAAATTGAAAACCAATGAACAAAAAGTGAAATTGAAGCAGCCATGGTTTATTGACCCACAAGATGGAAAGGAAAGGTAGTAGTTCTGAGGACCGGAAAAAAAGAAATCTTATTCTTGTTGAGAATAAAAACTGGTAAAAATCTTGAAGAACAGTTTGTTAGTTTGCATGAATCTGTGCTAACAACCAAGATCCTAATTTGAGGTCAAACTCATGCATCAGAGATGTTACTTGGGTCAAACTACTCAGAAATCCCAGAGCATGGTAATTGGCGGGAGAGGCCTGCCATACCCTACTGCCTCAGGTCCCACTGGGGACACCAGCTCTTTGGCCTGGAGTGATGGAATTCTAAACTGTTTCCAGTTATCTCACCTTTCAGAGCCCTTAGATAAGGAAATATTCCCATTTTTATGCCCTGCTTAGTGGTGTGGCTTTTGTAACTGTGGAATCTTGCCAAACAAATCCTTAAATTCTAAGTTTATTTACAGTAAACAACCTTAACTAGCCACTTCCCAAGGATAGCATTCCATAGGTTAAAAAGTCCTCATAGCAAATTTTCATTAATTTAACCAGTCCAGTTTGCAAGGCATTTAGGTATGTCATCTATTTTCTTTCTCTAGAAATAGCTTAGCTGTTTAATTCCATGTCTTCACTCTTGTGGGGCAAACTTATACATAGAAGATGATCACTGTGATAAGTTTTGTTTGTTTGTTTGGTTTTTTGTCATTTGAACTCAAGGCCTGGGCACTATCCTGGAGATTTTTCTGCTCAAGCCTAGGGCTCTATTACTTTGAGCTACAGTGCCACTTCTTATTTTCTGATGGCTAATTGGAGATAAGAGTTCCTGCCCAGCCTGGCTTTGAATAGTAATCCTCAGCTCTCAGTCTCCCGAATAGCTAGGATTATAGGTGTGAGCCACCAGTGCCAAGCTTTGGGATAGTTTTTAAAGGGGGAAAAAAATAGAAACAACCTGAAAATCCATCAGTGAGGAAGAAAATAAAAAGAATCTGCAAGCCCATAATAGGAAATTATGGTCCACATTTTCTGGAAAATACCCTACCATGGTCATCAAGAACAAAGCAAGACTAACTACATGAAATGATTGACCTGGAAGATTCTCCAGAGTAACTTATAGTAAAGGGATACACTGTGTGACATACAGCAATAGTGGGAGAAAAGCAGGGGGACCCACACCTCGTTTATAGGAGGATTGGGACCCTGGGCTGGAAAAGTGCTTAGATTTCAGACTATACTTTTAGATTAGTTGATAAGTTCGCAGTTAGTATTTTCACATATTGACTGTATTTCATGGACTCAGGAACACTTTTAAAAGTTAAAATCTGGGTGAAAAATGAGTGGGAGACTGAGTAGAGAGAGTTGACTGGATATGGATTGTGGCGTTTCCGGAAAGGCCCAGGTGCAATCATAGTTTGGTGGGAAAATGTTGAAGGAAGCATAATTTGGGATAAGGAAATTAAGAGTATAAAGTTTGTCCCTAAAACCACCTATGTCTGGTATTTAAAAAAAATCTTTTTTGGGGACTTTGTGTTTATGACTTACATATTGCTGGGTAAAAAATTTCCCCTCAAACTTAGTGAACTAAAGGGACAATAACACTGACCACTATGTGGTTCTGGGGGTCAGGGTTCAGGACTTGGCTTAGCAGGGTGCTCTGGCTTGAATTTGTTGACAGCTGCCCAGGTCTGTAGACCATCCAAGGCCTACCCTGGAGAAGGACATGCTTCTGTTGCCTCGTCTGGCTGTTGGATGGATTTGTCTCACACGGTGGTTGCAAGGGGAAGGTAGACATTTTAGCAAGGATTTTAGAACATGACAGGATAATGTCTTGGGAATTCAGGACCTTTGGTGAGGCTTAATTCTATTCATTTAAATCATCTTTTTATTATGGAATACTTACAAGAACAGATATAGATTCCCTTTGTTCTAGGCTATCTTTTCCAGGATATACATACAGTAAACAGCCTCAGAGCGGATAGCAGATCTACTTAGGACTTCGATGATAGAAATAGACCCTTTCTTGAAAGAGAACAAAAGGCAAACACTACACTCATTACCAAAGATCCTGGTTCCTTAAGTTTAGGGTTCCTTTCCCATATTGTAAACGAGCATGAAAAGGTGTCATCACTGCATTCTACTATAGGACTTGGAGCTGGAGCCAGCACAAATGTGAATGGTCTGATTATTTTCACTGCTACTTTCACGGTCCTTTGTCTCTAACTCTATAGAGTCTGTGTCTTCCACATATCCATGAATCTGGCAGCCTTCTGGCCCTTTTTCTCCCTGGGTATATCTTAACTACCTTGTGCTTCTGAACCCCAATATTAAAGATACTCCCTATCTACATGGTAAACTTGGAAATACAAGGGGAAATATCTGGGTTGTGAGATGCCATAGTCACTGAAGAGTGACAGAAGGGCATATATTTCTAAATGGTCCCCTTGGCACTTGCATTAAATTGTAGTTCTGCCTTTTTTACCATCTGCCGATTTTGATGGACATGAGACAACAATATAAAACTCATTGTGGCGTACATTCTTGGGGTGTTTTCAAGGACACCGACAACAAACATTCAGTGTCCTTTTTATGAGGGCCCATGGGGGAGCTTTGTCTCAGGTGTTCAGAAAAGCTGTGTGTCTGTTGAACAGCTGTGATGCTCTTGTCCTGGGCACACTAAATCTTGTACGTGATTGGGTATCTGTATTGTCTGTACATCTTGGAAACAGCACCAAATTTGTGGTCCAGCTCTTAGAATTAATCAAGGTTGCAGTGCATACATTCGAGAGTACCAAGCTTATTACCATTGGTTACTTTTCTTCACCTTATTTCTTCACTTATTTTTGCATTTTAGTTATGTATCTTTCTGTTTTTATTTTAATCAGCTTCTGAGGCTCTGATGTTTTTGCAAAGTTTATTAAGACCAACAATTTTTGCCTATTCACTCAACTTCTCTACAGTTCTTTCCCTTCCCATCCCACCCCTCCCCTTCCATTTCCTTTTCTGCCTACGTCCTCCTCTTCTCTTCCCTTGCCTCTCCCTCTTTCGGTGTAAATCCTTCTTTGGGTGCAATATGTGACAGAAGCCAGGAGATGCATTTCAGAAGAGAAAACAGATCTGATTATGCTACTTCTCACTCTACACACCAATAGATGATTCGTCCCATTCTATAAGTCGAGACTAGAACTCATTTTTCTTAGATTTTTGAAGGCTTCCTCCATGGGCTGCTAGGTCCCAGCACTTCCCTTGTGATGTTCAGAACTAGTTTGTTTTTGATCATTTGATGCGATTTGATGTTGCTCTCTAGAGGCTTTGCTGGGTCCTCAACCTGTCCCCACCATTCTGAAATCTCAGGAAAATGATGGGCCTTTCTGGGCATCTCTATACTCACTGTGCTTCTGCCTTGATTTTTCCAGGCCCTGTGAGTGGGACCCAGGTAGCAGGTGAAGCTAAGACAGGACATGCAGCAGGAATGCTCAACCATGGGAACCACTTCGCATGCTGGGAAAACACTGTGAGAGTTTGTCTGAGGGACAATTGGCTTTTCACATAGAAGAAGAAGATATAACCATGAAAATACAGGAAAGGATAACTCACCAGATGAGTAGATGAGTAAATGAGGATTGGGACAGAATGAAACATGGCAGGTACACCATAATCAGCAGCCTCTCTCATATAACCTTATTGCTGTATTAATTTACTCATCCCCTTGGCAAAACACATTGACTGGCAACCATTGGAGGCCAGAAGACTGCTCAATAATCATTGTGTGAGTTTCTGCTTCTGCAAGCAAAAGCCAAGTGTCAG